AGAACAGGGTAAAAGGGGGCTAACAAAGTATCAGAGAAACAGATGGACTACAGTCTGTAACTGTAGAACTACAAAGTGCACCTATATAGTAAGTGGAGCTGATAAAATGGACAATGAGTGTAGAAACAAGGAGGTGGTCAGAATGATATGGCTGATCGGTGTATTATATAATAAATATAAAGACTCTCATTTGGTTAATGCAGCACTAACAGCAGCTGATAAAAATGACAGACAAGCCTTAAAAAACTAGCCAAGAACTGGGTTTGATTCCTGACTGAGAATCAGGTCTATTATTATTGTTGATTGTGGCGACGCTGATCCGGAAGCCCACTGAGTTTCGTGAGGTTTATTTCAAATGAGGCACTAAAACCCTCAAAACTAAAGAGACTCCAGACCAAACAGTGACTCCTGTGGGAAAGACATGAGAGTATTTTCAGTGAAAACAGGATGGACTGCAGCTCCAAATCACAGCCCACATCTACATCTACCTTTTTTCTTTTTCCCCCTTTTTGATTGACCTGAAATGGACGTTCTGATCTTTTCAGGCCCGAATTCACAGGTTTTAAGCAATGAAAAAAAAATGCCAATAAATAGAAGTTGATTTTAGTTTTTCTGTGGGTTGCTATGCTACTTATAAACAGATGGGCCTTGGGGTGGAAAAGGTTGAGAACCCCTGCCTTACAGAACATTTTTACCTTTCTGTCTTGTTTAAAGTATCAATGCTAAGATAAAATTCCAGAGTTATGAGCAATTAAATTATTATGAACAATAATCACTATAAGCAAATCTTCAGCTGAGAAATAAAAGGATCTCCAGCCAGTTCCGCGTCAGAGCGGAGCGTCAGGGTTACTGCTGCTCAGAAATCACAGAGAGCACGTTTAGAACCGCCTGCTGTCCGGCGTGTTTCGGTGAAAGTGATGATTTGACACAGTAGGACCACGTCTTAACGCTAGTGCAGCTCCCACGCTAATTAGCCGCTGTATTGATCGTTGGGGGCAGCTGGTGATTCTGGTCTGATCAGCACAGATTGAAACCCAACAGACTCACAGTTTTCCGTACAGACGACAGAGTGACGCTGTGACTCACTGTAACGGCCTCGGGGTCTGTGGAGGGTCTAGAGTCAGAACCGCTAGTATGGATCTATTTCCGTATGAGAACCCTGAAACTATCCGCGGCTGTGATTTCGTCGTCTGGCACGGTTACCATTCAGACGACTGGACTCGACACAGAGCCATTAACAGAGTGGCCTACTTTGAGGTAAGACTGACCCACACTGCCCTCAGCTTCTGTTACCGTTAACACGTGCTTTAAGAGTTCTTTAGTAAAGGGAATGGTTCTATATGGAACCATGAACACTCAGTGATCCCGTTGCATGATTGAAGGGTTCTTTGTATGGTGAAAGTGTTCTTCAGATTGAAGGAGAAGGTGCTGTAGATGGTTCTATGTATAACCCTTGAAAATGGTTCTATATAGCACGTAAAAGGGTTCCACAGTTGTTACTGGCCAAAGAACCCTTCCTGCTAAGAGTGCAGGAACACCATTAAATAGTTCTTTTGAATGGTTAAATTGTTCTTTTCTGCACTTTCAGCCAAAATGGTTCCAAACAGCACTGAACCGGTTCTATGATTTAGACAATAGCAGAACAGTATATGTTTATACAACAATATAATAAAAAAGCAGAACCATTTTTGGTGCTATGTAGAACCATTTTTAATTTTTTTATTTTAAGAACCGTATACAACAGGTTTTCCATCACAAAGAACAATTTTACCATCGAAAGAACCATTTATGCATTTGCATGGTTCTTATATACCACAAAGGGTTATCTCAGTGATGCCATAGAAGAGCCAATTTGGTTCCCTAAAGAACCATGTTTGAAAAAGAGATTTGTTAGTGCAAAGAACTAATGTCAAGGTTTTTACACTCACACATCCCATTTGCTAAAAAGAGTTTTCTATAGAATTGTCCATTGAAAGGTTCTTCTGTGGCATCATGCAAAGAACCCTTTCTGCCATCGGTCCTTTATAAAGAACCCTTGTTTTTAATGTTGTATAATGGAAACCAGTTGTATTTGATTCTTCAGATAGAACCTTTTAAAAATGGTGCTGTATAGCGTCAAAAGGGTTCGGCCATAGAACCTTTTATTCGGTACTGCATAGAACTTAAGATTACATTTTTGTTTTTACATTACAGCTCTTAATTCTTAGATTAACAGATTTAACTGCTTTATTTTATGTACAAATTAAGCATAATTGAAAAGTAATCATACCACTTTTTAAGTGACGTTACTGAGGACATCACTAGTTGCACTTTTGTCCTGAATTAATGATCAGAACCAGATTATGACCTTAATTAACGTTCCCAACACTGATGGTTACGATACTGTGTACAAAAACTTTGCTGAACATTTAAAAAGTTTGCTGCTAAATGCTAATTTCTAGATCACATCTATAAATTCATTACTGTGTAAAGAAAGCATAGTTAGCATGTAGCCACTATATACAGTATGTAGCTACATTACAGGACAAACGTTTGGAAACAGGAACTGATTTTTTTTACTTTATTTGTAACGTTTACACGTTTCTTCCCTTCTATTTTCCCCAAAGCAGTTTGTTCCAGAATATTCCATGGGCCAAAGTTTTATTTGGCTCAGGCAAACTTGCCTGACCTCCCCAACTCCCCAACCCCCCCTCAATCAGTCTCCCCTCATACTACCTCCACCATGTTGAAGGTACAGTCTGAACTCACACACTATAACTGGTACACAGGCCACTATTAAGTTTATTTTTTCTCCAATATTTTGAGCAAATAAACAGTAAATCTGCATTAAAATGAGTAGAACAATAGTAGTATTTAAACATTATACATATATACAGATATACTGGCAAAAGTGTGAGGCTTTGTTTGGTTCTTGGCCTAAAACAGGACAGAACGTTTGCGCGTCCTCAGCTGATTCTGAGAGAAAAGCCGTCCTCACGCAGTTTGTTGCTGACAGGACTGAACAGCTTTCAGGGTTTATTTTTCACATATTCAGTGCAGTTTGTGTCTGTTTGTCCTGACGTGTCTGTGCTGATGGAGCGGTGGAGCTGCGGTTGGGTTCTCAGAGGCTCTCTGGGCTGTGCAGCGCCTGTCCTGCTAACATTAGCCCTAAAACCTACACTACCTATGAAGTGTTGGGTTAGCGAAGGGCTTGAGTTTCTGAAGTTTGGCCAACACGTCCTGATGAATTACACAGTGACAGATTTAGAGCAGCACTGCAGCTCAGCTCACCAGCAGAGACACACCCCTCATCATACAGTACACTCTGAAAAAGAGGGTTCTTCAAGGGTTCTTTAGTGAAAGGGAACAGTTCTGTTTAGAACCATGAACACTGAAAGACATGGTTGTCTGCACGGTGAAATGGTTCTTCAGACTGATGGAGAATGGGCTGTAGATGGTTCTATACAGAATCTTTTTGAAAAGGGTTCTATATAGCACCAAAAAGGGTTCTGCTATTGTTACAAGCTTGACACCATAATAATACAAAAACCCTATTTGGTTCTGTATAGAACCATTTACAGAAAGTTTCTCCATCAATCTGAAGAATCAATTCATGGTGTAAAGAACTCTTTGATCGTGCAAAGGGGTCTTTGAGTGTTCATGTTCTATATACAACCATTTTCTTTACTAAAGAACTCTTAAAGAACCATCTTGTTTGAGAGTGTATATAGTACCAAAAGGTTCTTCTGTTGCGATGTCAAGCTTGTAAGAACACTTTTTGGTGCTGTATAGAATCATATACAAAACACTCTCCATCAATCTGAAGAACCATTTAAACATGCAAACGAACTAACTGTACATAAAACCATCCCCTTTTCTAAAGAACACTGAAGAACCATTTTTAAGAGTGTCAGAAGTTTGGCCACACCCACTTTCTTATTTTTACCATTTACCATGTTTTAGAATGACAATGAAAACACAGCATTACACAGTGAGGAAATAAAGCTCTGACACTTTAAAGGTGAAATGATTTTTCTAAATTCAGAGTGGTTTGGTGTGAAACGCTCCGTTCTAGATAAACCTACCGAGTCAGAACTGTTCACAGTGGTGGTGATAGGAACCAGACGTCCACCTCTAAAAGCTCCCTCACAGAAAGTTCCTACATGAAATGGTTATGAATTCACTGCCTGATGACTGAGACACTGTTTTATGATAGTTTAGAGAACTTAAACTCCATTCATGGTGGAGGGATACATGCAGGGCGCTGTGAGGCAAAATAGTCCCCAAAGAAAACTTAAAACATTATATATATATTCATTATTTGCCCCACAGGTCATTACATTTTAATGGAAGATTACAGGAAAACAAGAATTTAGTCTTTGATATGAAATGATAAATCATGCTCAATGTGTCAAACTAACAAGGTTAAAAAAGGTGCACTTTAAAAAAGGGTTCTTCAAGGGTTCTTTAGTAAAAGCAATGGTTCTGTTTAGAACCATGAACCCTCAAAGAACCATTTAAGCATGCAAATTTATGCATATGGTTCAAAAGGGGTTTTTCCATTGATGTAATCCTGACATCATAACAATAGCAGAACCCATTTTGGTGCTGTTTCGACCCATTTCACCATGCAGAGAACCTTTTAAGCCTGAAATGGTTCTACTATAGAAACTCTATTACTGAAGAACCATCTTTTTAAAGTGTATAGTTCTGACTAAATCAGTAGTTGCTGGACAGTAAATCAGAAATAAATCTGTATCCTATTTGCTTTATGCAACATTACATGTTTGGGGTGGTGGTTTCGGGGGGTGTGGGGGTAAAAAAGTAGGTCAGGCAGAGTTCCCGGGTGTTTGTTTGCAAGTTAGACGTCTAAATGTAACCCGCGAGTGAACTCGCTTCAGAGCCAGATCAGTGGAAACCTCAGGAAGATTCAAAAACCATCTCAGCTGGTCATTCGATCTGAGCTGCAGAAGCTGATAGGTCTGTGAGGTCATCAGAAGCATGCCACCCTCATACCGCTCACCGCCCACCCCACTCGGGCCTGAGCTCAGCCTCCCCACACTGCAGCAGAAGAATGGAATGTGTGGAGTTAAAGGATCTATTCACTGTCGCCCACTTCATAAAGGCCAGGTGTGACCACGGCCTGAAAGCTGGAGATCCTGCCAACTTCAAGAATTATGTTTTTTTTGAGGTGGAGATTCTGGACCCCAAGAGCAAAGCTCAGCTCTGCTACCTGGACAAGGTGCGTCAGATGGCGTTCATATGTTAAAGTAGTTTTTACTGTACACTCTTAGAAAAAAATGGTTCTGCAAGGGTTCTTTAGGAAAGGAAATGGTTCAACATAGAACCAGGAATGCTCAAAGAAGCATTTGCATGCTTTGCATGGTGAAATGGTTCTTCAGACTGATGAAGAACGTGTTGTGTATGGTTTTATATTGTTACAAGCTTGACATTATAACAACATAAGAACCCTTTTTTGGTGCTAAATAGAACCATTTTAAAAAAGGTTCTATATAGAACCATACACAGTACATTCTCCATCTATCTGAAGAACCATTTCACTATGCAAAGAACCCTTTAACCATGCACACTTAATAAAAAGTGGTTCTTCAGGGGTTCTTTAGTAAAGAAAATAGCTCTAAATAGAACCATGAACACAAAAAGAACCCTCTGCATGATTAAAGGGTTCTTTGCATCATGAAAGGGTTCTCCAGATTGATGGAGAATGTGCTTTAGACAGTACTATATAGAACTTTTTTGAAAATCGTTCTATATAGCACCCAAAGGGTTCTGCTATTTTAACAAGCTTGACACCGTAACAATAGAAGAACCCTTTTGGGCGCTATATAGAACTCTTTTTAAAAATGTTCTATATAGAACATTTTTTTCTAAAGAACCCTTGATGAACAATCTTTTTTAAGAGTGTAACTTCAAGGACATTTACACTGTTGTTACCTTGATGAATGGAAAATGTACCTGCACAGAACCTTGCAATGTGTTCAGGGTTCTATATAGAACTATCGCCTTTACTAAACAACCCTTGAAGAACCATGTTATTTAGGAGTGTTCATGTTCATAAGGTGGCGTGAGAGTGCATAAGGTGATCATGACAACTTACATAGACCTACATAAATAATTATGAAGGTTTATTTAAATACCCCCACAGTGACCCAGAAGGATAAGCGGTTTAGATGATGTATGTATGTATGTATTTAAATAGGTGTCGTATATCATAAAGGCTGCATTTGCCATTATTGATGTCCAGTTGACAGAACACCTGTGACAGGTCACAGTGATTTCCAGTCATGATGTTTTTTTGGGTAAAATGACAGCACGTTATACAGCTGACAGTAGAGTAATGTACTCTACATGGACAAAAGTATTGGGACACCTCCACATTACACCTACAGGAGCCTTTATGACTCCCATTCTAAACCCATAGGCATTAATATGGATCTGGTCCCCCTTTGCAGCTCTAACAGCTTCCACTCTTCTGGGAAGCTTCTACAAGATGTTGGAGAGTCTGTGGGAATTTTAGTCCATTCATCCAGAAGAGCATTAGTGAGGTCAGACACTGATGTTGGACGAGAGGGTCTGGATCACAATCTCTGTTCTAGTTCATCCCAAAGGTGTTGGATGGGGTTGAGGTCAGGGTTCTGTGAGGGTCAGTCAAGTTCTTCCACACCAAACTCACCCAGTCAGGCCTTTATGGAGCTGCTTTGGTCACTGGGGCTCAGTCATGCTGGAACAGAAAAGGTTCTTCCTCAAACTGTTCCCACAAAGTTGGAAGTGTACAACTGTCCAGAATGTCTTGGTCTTTGAAGCATTAAGATTTCCCTTCACTGGAACTGAGGGTTCTAGACCAACCCCTGAAAAACAACCATGCCATGAAGCTCCCAGTGCAGTTTCTGTGCTGATGTTGCTGCCAGAGGAGGTTTGAACTCAGTTATTGATCAGCAGAGTGTTGGGGACTTGTGTGCTCTGTGCTCCTCAGCACTCGGAGACCCGCTCTGTAACTTTAGGTGGTCTGACACTTCGTGTCTGAGTTGCTGTGGCTCCTAAACGCTTCCACAGTTCAGTAATACACTCACAGCTGATTGTGGAAAATCTAAGGGGGAAGAAATTTTGCAAACTGCCTTGTTGTAACAGTGGCGTCCTATTACAGCTCCACGCTCGAACTCAGTGAGCTCTTTAGACCCGTTCTTTCACCAATGTGTGTGAAGCCAGGCTGCATTGCTGGGGGCTGGATTTTATACACCTGTGGCAATGAGACTGAATAAACACCTACATTCATTTAAAATAAAAGTCCAGTGAACCAGTTACTGAGTCTGATATTCTGTGGTTATTAGATTTTTAAGAGTAAACACACTGAACCAGTTGCTGACACAGTCTGATTTTCTGCAGTTATCAGATTATTAAGTATAAACACACTGAACCAGTTACTGACACAGTCTGATTTTCTGTGGTTATCTGATTATTAAGTATAAACACACTGAACCAGTTACTGACACAGTCTGATTTTCTGCGGTTATCTGATTATTAAGTGTAAACACACTGAACCAGTTACTGACACAGTCTGATTTTCTGCGGTTATCAGATTATTAAGAGTAAACACACTGAACCAGTTACTGACCCAATCTGATATTCTGCGGTTATCAGATTATTAAATATAAACATACTGAACCAGTTACTGACACAGTCTGATATTCTGTGGTTATCAGATTATTAAATATAAACACACTGAACCAGTTACTGACACAGTCTGATTTTCTGCAGTTATCAGATTATTAAGAGTAAACACACTGAACCAGTTACTGACCCAATCTGATTTTCTGCAGTTATCAGATTATTAAATATAAACACACTGAACCAGTTACTGACACAGTCTGATTTTCTGCAGTTATCAGATTATTAAGAGTAAACACACTGAACCAGTTCCTGACACAGTCTGATTTTCTGCAGTTATCAGATACGAGCCTGTAAACACACTCACTGATGTAATACTGATAGTGTGACATCTTGAATCTTATAAATGGTAAAATGAAACCGACTGTATCTGAGAGCCACTGTAAATGCCCACTTTCGTTTCACCAGCCTGACGTGATGTGTTACATCATATTATCAGTATTATGTCACTGTGATGTACACTGAGCTGTCATTTGACCCCAGAAAGTGTCACCTGACATAGGAGCGGTCAACATGACATCAGATGAAAGCTTTATGACAAATGATGCCTATTATAGTACATAAATGTTCATGTAATGATTATGTAGCCTCATGAAATCTTAACAACGTCTTCACTGAGGAGTTAGTTTGGATTAGACAACAGTAAAAGAACGTACTCAGGGCAGCAGCTCACAAAGGATCATCTAAGGAGTTGTGAGTGAAACTGAAACTGAGAGCGATCTGTTGTGACAGCTGTTTTTTCCTGATTTGAACAGGTGGAGCCCAACGCTACAGTCGGAGAAATCAAGAATCTGCTGCACAGACTGTGTGAGTGCTCTTTTTTAATTGTGCTAATAAATAGCCAAATAAACACACTGATAATGTTTCCATAATCCTGTGAGGAATCTTATTATAAACAGTCTGATGCTGATAACGATGTGCTAAATGTTTGCAGATCCTAAGTGGTATCCATCCAGACAGGCCCTAAAGCTGCACCCGGGTAAATATATTTCAGTATTTAGTAGAAACATAGAGATGATTAGGAGCCGTATTACAGACCCATCTAAACTGTGTGATGTGTTTAGTCTCCATGATGGACAGTATCTATTCCAGAATAACAGTTCCTACCTTCATCATCTCATCATCAACTCCAGATAAGAAAACAGCATCACACAAACATCCTAACTGGACTAAACCTCCTAAATCCTGTCCTAACTTTAGGATGAACCCCAACAGGGTCCTCACTTCTGTTTAAGGTCCGTTTCTATGGTTTTTAGGCAGCTGAGTCAGCAGCATAGTTCACTACCAGCATAATGAGCTCCATTTATTTCTACTGTAAAACGCTGCTTTCACTGTGAGATGATTTTCTTTTCTAACTCTGCGTTTTAAAGATCTCAGACGCTGCAGACTCGATCTCCACCGCCCCTCTGATCACCTTCGTGTGTTAATGTTGATGATGAAATATTACAGTGATGGTGGTGAATAATGAGGAGACGGAGCTGAACGTGTGTCTGTTTATTAGGAGGAGTAACGTTAGCGCGCTCGGCTAAAGCGTTCGGGAAATGGAGACTGAAACTGGGGAGCGGCGACGCTCTGATAAACAGCAGGGGGCGCTCTCACAGTATTCACAGCTTATAGTTTATCACACTTTAGTTTAGTTTGACCTTTTTTATATGAGTAACGTTTAATTTTTTTTACATCAGTTTAATTTATTGGTGGAGGGATACATGCAGGGCGCTGTGACACAAAATAGTCCCCAAAGAAAACTTATTATTTCAGTTTTACCACTATTTTATCATTATATGATTATGTTTGTGTTGACTCCTGGTTCCTATCACCACCACTGCAAACAATTCTGACTCAGTAAGATTCCCCACAACGCATTTCACACATCATTGTGTTTGACCAGTTTCTGCTGAACATCTCGTGGTTTTCAGAGGGAAAAGCCCTGAAGGATGAAGAAGTTCTGGAGGATCTGCCGGTGGGAACCACAGCCACCATGTTCCTGCAGGACCTCGGACCACAGCTGAGCTGGACGATGGTAAAACCAGCATCTACATAATCTTTGCATTCAGCATCAAACCATAATATACATTTCAGATACTGCATGTATACACAGGGACGCGGTGAAGTGGGGGCTGAGGGGGCTGCAGCGCCCCCTGATTTCAGGATTGCAACTGTTAAAAATGATAATAAAACATTCTGAACTGTATAATAATTTGCCTGTAGTAGAGACACGTGAGCTTGTTTTCTGGGTGAAGTTTGTATTTTATATTTTAAAATCTGCAGTTGCTGCTCTGTTTAAGTGAACAATGTATTTTCATACAGTGAGCTGAAAACCGGCCACTTTGGGGACGAGTCGCTCAAACACCCACAAGCTGAGGTTCAAAGACAGAAAGTCTGTGCAGAGATGAAGATGAGTTCTGAGTTCCAAAGCGGCCAAATACTGTTTCTAAACAAAGTAATCTAACATCATAAAGAAGTTTTTATCAATTATTTTATCTCCTGCTCGTGTGCATTTCACATATGCACAGCTTAAAATTTCAGCACCACTAACACCTTCCTGTCTCCCTATGTATACATCACTAATCATGCTAAGCTCCATAAAGGCCTGACTGGGTGAGTTTGGTGTGGAAGGAGCTTGACTGGCCCTCACAGAGCCCTGACCTCAACCCCATCCAGCACCTTTGGGATGAACTAGAATGGAGATTGAGAGCCAGACCCTCTCGTCCAACATCAGTGTCTGACCTCACAAATGCTCTTCTGGATGAATGGACACAAATTCCCACAGACTCTCCAACATCTGGTAGAAGCTTCCCAGAAGAGTGGAAGCTGTTAGAGCTGCAAAGGGGGACCAGATCCATATTAATGCCTATGGATTTAGAACGGGAGTCATAAAAGCTCCTGTAGGTGTAACGTGGAGGTGTCCCAATACTTTTGTCCATATAATATATACGGTCTTACTCTCCAGGAGCATTTCACATTTAAAAATGTCCGTAGGGCTTCATGTATCTCTCAATAGTCTTTGCTAAAGTGGCAATCCCAAAAATATTGTAATAGGAGAGGGTGTAAAAAAGTATCTTCACAAGTTTTTCCATGTAAACTCCCTCCATTTCTGTGAACTGGTACGCTTCCATGGATGACTCGTCCATTCTTCCTCTGACCGAATTAACTCTCCTTCCTTCTTCCATGTGTTTTAATGTATACAGTCGAATGTGTTCAGGATTAAAGATAAGAATTGACAGACTCTGCACTGTATAGTCTTTTACAGCCTTTACTTTATCAGATATTATTTTAAAACTCTAAAATTATGTTCTTTTTAAACTGGAAACCCTCCCATATTGAAACCCTCAGTGTCTCTAAGAGAAGCTCACATTGCCTCAGTGCAGAGGTGTTAAATTAAGGCTTATCTGTTCTTTTGTCTTTAACTGTAGGTGTTTCTGGCTGAAAGCATTGGGCCGCTCTTCATCTATCTGCTCTTCTATTACCGGCTGCCGTACATCTACAGCCCTGAGTATGACTACACTAAAAGCCCACACACTGTCGTCAGGTGGGTTCACTGTAATTACGCCAGCACTTAGGAAACTTATTAAAGCAGAGGAGTAAAAACAAGCACTGAACTGAAGTTTTATGGCTTTAATATGCCATAAGTAATACTTCTATAATACAACATCAGCATATGTACTAAATATAATACTAGGGATGCGTCAATACCGATACTGGTATCAGGTATTGGTCAGATACTGTGCTCATTTACTCATATTTGTAAAAATACACCAATACCAGCATCTGATATCAGCTAATACTGGTGACATAAGCCGAGTGCAGCTGCTGTGCTAATGAGCAAACACAGGATGATCTGTGTTACTGCTGGTCACTTGAAATACACAGGAACACACAGTGTGATTTTAGCCCTTTTTAAACGCACAAATACAATCATAACTGCTTCCCCAATTCGGATGGAGACACACAGGCTAACAAAACAGACACTAAAACATGTCAACATAGAATAGAGTTATGAAGTATTAACATTAATACTGTGATATTTGTGTAAATCAGGCTGTAGAGAGACCGAAACTGTCCTACCGTGAACATCGGCGCCTGCTTTATCTTCAGTGCTCAGTGTTAGCAGCGCTGCTCAGCGTGTTGCTCAGTACTCGGTTTTTCTGAGTGAATCAGCTTTATTGATAACGGTCCGTAGTCAGAACGTCTGTAGAGGCTGCGTTTCCCGTAGCAGGTCAGTCAGACGGAGCGTTTCGTACGGTGTGAGTTTATAAATCGTAGCTTTGTCTGAACACGATGGTCTATTCAAACGGACAGTGAGAGTCACCAAAGAACAAGACCTCTAAAATCACAGCGTCTGTCTGGCTTTAGAGGACATTCAGCTACGGCTCAACCAGCCAATCAAAACACTCCAACAAGACGGAAAACTGGAAGCGTGAGCTCCTCGGATGTGATTCCTGCTGTCGCTGCGCTGCTGCTGAAAGAGACAGATGAGGATCAAAACTATGAAACCTACTTTACTTACAGCTGTACAGAAGAGCTTTTCTGACGGGGAACTAAACCTCCACTGCAGCGCTGCTCGATCAGAGATCACTGATGTAGCAGAGCGAGATAACGACCTTCATTTAACACCAGATAGATTTAATGATTTAACAGTTTGCACTTATTTATACTAACAACTTCTTCATTCTAAGTAGGTTATTCAGTATGGTGTTGGTATCGTCGAGTACTTAAAGACGTACTCATACACAGTCTGAAAAAAATGGTATTGATGCATCCCTATGTAATACATTTAGTAATGATTCATATTGCTGTTCGTAGGTGTTGTAACCATATCACATGCCAAAGGTATGATACTGGTCTGTTGTTGCCATTTCAGCCTTCATCATTAAGCATAATGTTTCTGTAAAGATCAGCAGCCAGTTGCACCGGCTGATTGTAAGTTCAGTCGTAGTTTGAATGTAAACTGCCTTTATGTTCAAGTTTACAAGCTACTAGAATTTAACCGGCTGCACCAAGTAACATAGTTTCGACAAAGCTTTAAGTTATAACTTAAAATTTACACGATGGGAAAACTTGGCAGACAATTCTGCAGGATAGATTACTCCCGTTTTCATCAATCAGAGATAGAAAATATCGCAGATCCAGGAACAGCAACGGAGCCCTGAGTCCTGCTTTGTGTTTAGAACTGAGATATTTTCATAGATGTTTTTCTACAGGGTCGTTCCAAAACCTGGTGAGAGACTCTGTTCAAGAACACAAGTCAACTGTGTTCAGAGCAGCTCCATCAGTGCTCAGGCTGTGTGTGACACTGACCTTATTATCATACGATACATAACACAGATTAGTTTTAACATAGCTAACATCACCTGGTAACACTTTCTATGAATGTCACGTTTGTAAGCATCTATAAACACATTTATAACATGTTATAATGTATTCATAAGGCATTATAAACATGGTTATAAATATTTATAAAAAAGAATTACACTGAATTACACTTTATAGCCATGTTTATTATACATTATGAATTGTTAATATAATGCATTATAAATAGTGTTAATAACATGTTATAATGTCAGTGCCAAAGAAGTCAGTCCCAGCTTGGAGAGCGTAAAGTAAAGACAAATACCAAGCTAACGGTGGTGAACATTACCTTTCCCACATTGGGTAAAACACTGATGCAGCTCTAGTTTAAACTCTGACATTTGAAGGCTGTAATGTGCTTTACTGTGAATGTTTTAGTGTTTCAGTAAATCCTTCAGTAAATACTTCAACTTCACTCTGAACACTGGAGGAGGCTTTAGTACAGTACGCTTCACTTTACTCAGAGCGGACAAATACCACTTATGAGCTCTTATAATTTGTTATGAACCGTATTTATAATGCATTATATTAACAATTCATAATGCATAATAAGCATGGCTATAATGTATAAAGCATTTTTATAAATATTTATAGCCATGTTTATGATGTCTTATGAATGCATTATAACATGTTATGAATGTGTTTATAGATGCTTCCAAGTGTGACATTCACAGAAAGTGTTAACCATCACCCTTCTTTTGTTGAGTTGATTCAAACAGCGACTACATTAGCCGCAGCTCCGCTAACGTTACCGACCCATCATTGATAAAGTGCCGTTAAAAGATCGTGGACGAGAGCCCAGTTTGGACAGTGGATAAATTCCAGCAGCAGAACAGAGTAAACACACAAACAAGAGACGGAGGCTTTGAAAACACCACTTTACTGTAAAACACAGTCTGTTTTTGAATTTTAGCTAATTTGACCGACACACCTAAAGCAAAGTAAATGTGGCTTGAAAAGAGAGAAATGTGAGCCGTGAGGAGATCATGTGTGTAATGTTTCCTGATTATGTCGTTACTGATTGGCTGCAGAGTGTAAACGTCACTCTGGACGACAGTTTTTTGTCTTTACACTCTACTAGTTAAGATGTACCGTAAGTGTTTGTGGTGCAGCCGAAATTCTGTGTCGGTAGTTTTAAACTAACTACTCTCAACATAAGATTTAGGGTGGACTTTAAACCCCAACTTAAGATCGAAATTACCTTCAGCTGGTGCAACTGGCTGCTGTAGTGGACTTACTGTAGCTGAGAAACAGGTCAATAACACAGTGCACCTGTATTATCTGTATTTATTCTGCTCTCCTGTTTATAATGTTAATGTCTTTTTTGTGCTGTAGACTTGCCTGTATGTGCCACTCTCTGCATTACATCAAGCGGTTGGTGGAAACCATCTTTGTCCACCGCTTCTCTCACGGAACACTGCCAGTGCAAACCATCATGCTGGTATTTCTCAGCTTCTCATTCTTCATTTTAAATACGTTGTGTGAATGTGTCATGAAGAACGGACCAATAGAAATGCCCATTATTCAGCGTACGCTGCCTTTCAAACGCTTGAAATCACTGTTTACAACAATGAAAAACAAATGTATTGTAGACAAACATGTAAAATTATTCTAATACGATTTTTTTATGATCTACAACATCACAGGTTTCACATATTAGGAAGATGTAAAAATAAAGCGAATGCTAGAGTGTTCGGAATGATAGAAACTTCCGAAACGACAGAGAACATGAAGAATTAAGTTCTAATAAGGTTAATACTCAGTTCAGTTCAAACGTACAACGTATTTATTAAAGAATAAACACACATCAATAAGAACAAACAATACAGCTCATGTATTAAATCCAGTCCTTTAAATATACATTCATCACAAATCTAATAGCCCTGTAACTTTGGGTGTGAAACAGTTCTTCCTTCTGCTGCTTTTTGCCATTGGGAGCCTAAATCTGTCCAGAAGGAAGAAGCTGAAACCCGAAGTGAAGTGCATGATCTGGAAAACTCAGCATCAGTCTCGCTTTCTGGGTGACGTGATAGATGAACGTCATTTAACCCTCTGTGGTCTGAGGTCGTTTTCTCCATGTCTGATTTCTTACTATTCAGCTCCTTAGGTGAGTTGCATTCAGCCAGTAATGGATCTTTTCCACAGATAGAACAGAACAGGGGTGTCCAAAGTCTGGCCCCAGGGATTAATGTGGCCCGTGGAGTGATTTTAATTGGCCCTCTGGTCAATATGTTGTTCCTTTAACTTGACGGTAGCAGCAGAGCTGTAAACATACAGTTAATTTACAATGAACCTGCTAATTAATATAATTAATGTGTCGAATGACATTTAGTCATGACTAAACACACACAGCGCAGCTGACAGTGACAACCAGCAATTTCAGCAGTGATGGAGACTTTTTCACTGGGAGCCGTAACAAATGTGTGCGTCATATTTCAGGAGACTTTGGTGAATTTAATATTAAAACACATTAACCATATAGAAAAACACAGACATGTATTTTTACATATTTAAAATACATTTCAAACGCACTGCAGTCCACACTGAAATACAATCAAACACCAAAATGTATTTCAGAATATTTTGCCATATAAATATCTTTACTTAAATATATATATATATATATATATATATATATATATATATATATATATATATATATATATTGGGGATATATATGAGTGTTACACTTATTTTTATTTGGTACATTTATATGTATAATATAAATGTAAAGTGTTATATGTATAATATATATTATTTTTTTTAAGTAAAGGTATTTCAAAATATGTTTTGGTGTGTTTATCAAATCCATTTGAAAATGTATGAAAATATCCAAAATCCTGTCTGATGCACTTCACTGTCTGATACCTTTAGACATGATTTTTATCTTCATTTTAAATATGATCAAATGAAACAAGAAATAACTGTAAATAGATAATTACAGTATATTATTTATCATTTACTACCTTTGTGGTGCTCCCAAAACCTTAAAATACCTTCTGATGTCTAGTTCAGAGTAATTCAATCTACACTCTTAAAAAAGGTGGTTCTTCAGGGTTCTTTGGCAGAGAAAATGGTTCGGAGAAAGAACCCTTTGCATGATGAAAGTGTTCTTCGGATTGATGGAGAAAGTGCTGTGGAAGGGTTCTGTTTAGCACCAAAAAGGGTTCTTCTATTGTTACAGTGTCAAGCTTGTAACAATAGAAGAACCCTTTTTGGTGCTACATCGAACGCTTTTCGAAAAAGGTTCTATATCAAACCACATACAGCACATTCATGCACATTTTCTACCAATCTGAAGAACCCTTTAACAATGCAAAGGAACCTGAACCATTTTCTTTACCAAAGAACCCTTAAAGAGTGTACTGTATACATGTGTTATTGAATAGAATAACAGCAGTTATTGATATGAAGAGTGATTCCGAACTTTTGAGAGTTACAGATCGTTTTTCTTTCTCCTGAAAAGTCTCTGTTTGTGAGGTTTTGTTCCGAGAGCGCTGATATACAGGGGGGCGATAATGTTGGAATACTCGAATTCCAGGCTTTCACAAAAACTGACAGATTCAGTTTAGCAGCCAGAACATTTATACTGCAGTTCAGTCTCCTGCTGTTCATTTCCCACAGCACTCAGTCCCACCAGTCACACGGCAGTGACTTCATTACCGTTCATATTTCAGCCTCAGAGTGCCTGGAGAGTTCTAGATAATAACATCAGTAGGATACGTTTCTTAACGTCTAAGACTTTACTGTACTTTTAACCTACTGACTTTTCCAGAGGACACAAAGAAGGAAAGTTCTCCATTAAAGGAACCGTTCAGTCCACAACCCAGGAGCCGTATTACAGAACCGTCTAAACTCTGAACTCTGATCTGTTTAGTCTCTGTGCTGGACTGAATTCAGTATCTATTCCAGAATAACAGTTCCTACCTTCATAATCTCATCATCAACTCCAGATAAGAAAACAGCATCACACAAACATCCTAACTGGACTAAGCCTCCTAAATCCTGTCCTAACTTTAGGATGAACCCCAACAGGGTCCTAACTTCTGTTCAAGGTCCGTTTCTATGGTTTTTAGGCAGCTGAGTCAGCAGCATAGTTCACTACCAGCATAATGAGCTCCATTTATCTCTACTGTAAAACGCTGCTTTCACTGTGAGATGATTTTCTTTTCTAACTCTGCGTTTTAAAGATCTCAGACGCTGCAGACTCGATCTCCACCGCCCCTCTGATCACCTTCGTGTGTTAATGTTGATGATGAAATATTACAGTGATGGTGGTGAATAATGAGGAGACGGAGCTGAACGTGTGTCTGATTATTAGGAGGAGTAACGTTAGCGCGCTCGGCTAAAGCGTTTGGGAAATGGAGACTGAAACTGGGGAGCGGCGACGCTCTGATAAACAGCAGGGGGCGCTCTCACAGTTTTCACACCTCACAGTTTATCACTCTTCAGTTCTGTTTGTCCTTTTTTACATCAGTAACAGCAGCTTAACTCACATTTTAACTTTATTTTGATTACATGTTTACGTTTCAGCTCTGTGCGTTGATTGTTGACCTGAATCGAGTAGGTTTTCCTAACTGGAGATAAGATGCTGTAAGATAAGATAAAATTCCTAAATTAAGATCAGATTTGCTTCTGTAATGTGAATTAGTGAAAAATATTATTATTATTATTATCATTATTTTTATTATTATTACTATTATTATTAGCATTAGCATTAGCACTAGTGACATCATCATGCTAACTGGTGAGCACTAGCTTCCATTCATCATAAGCAATGTTAGATGTTTGGTTGATATTTTAAGTGTCTCTGTTTAAATGTGTACCTGTAATTAATTCAGGTCACAGGTCAAAAAGCAGCGGATTACTGTGGGACTTCTGAGCTGTAACCTGTTTGTACGAGTTATTCTTCCTGCACTAAGAGCAGTACTGGTTTATTATTAGATTGCAATCTAAATTACTCACTTGGTGATGTGGTTTCATGTTTTGTGTTTACATGAACATCTGCTCACTCTCTGCCTTTCAGAACTGCCTGTATTACTGGGGGTTTGCAGCGTGGCTGGCCTACTACATCAACCACCCTCTCTACACAACACCGAGTGAGTCCTGAAGAGTTTGAACACTGATGTGTTTAAGCTGTTAAACACCGTCAGCTCCAGTCTTCTGCTCTTCAGTCCTGTGACCTTAAAATAATGCTGCATTCAGATAAAGCTTGTAACTCAGAATCTCTGACCTCTGCGTAGGAAATGCTGAGAAGACACCCCTGAACTGGGAGTTCCTGCATCTTAAATGTGCAGTACATGATTCTGTGCATGAGCATGAGCGCCCCCTAATGCTGATTGGCTGGAAAATGCATTCGGTTCGAGACAGATTGTTATTTCCTGTTTACAGAGTCAGGGCTTTTTCCAGCGCACACAGAACGGAGAGCTAGTGGACCGTGAGGAGATATTCGCTGAATCTGACAAGTGTATTGGATTGAAATTGTATACTCCACCTTTAACTGTGGCCCCAGTTCTAGCCTGAAACGCTGTACCCAAAGAAAAGGGGGCGCTGTTCACACAGACTCCGGGCTACAGTCATGATCCCGGTCTCATTTGAAAGGAAACACTCTAACCTTTTCAGGATCACTGTCTGAATGACTGACTCAGAGTAACAGAGTCTAGAATGGAGGAGTTTGTTTCCTCCTGACTGTCTGATCTCTAGACTGATCTCTGACTCTTGCCGTGTCATCAGACCACATGTTTTGGATTATGGTGTCTCTGTGGAGGCGGAGAGGCTCTGAAGGTGGGGACACACATCTGCCAGCGTTTGATCATTCGGTGCTGCAAATGAGACGATCGTAACTGCTGTGACTAACGGATCATAGAATGGTTTGTGGGAATCGAATCCCAAGAATCCCAGCTTTTATTGCTGGATGGTTTGGTGCGTAAAAATGATATATAAAAATCCAGAAGTGAGCGCTTCGACGGAAGTGTGCCAGTACAGATACAGACATGTAGAAAAGGTTAAATGAGATTATAGTAACATGTCACTGTTGTCATGAACAAAACCTCGTATCTCCAAAATGTGACTTTACAGGAAAAGGAAAAAACCTACTGTACTTTTAATGTAAGTCAATGGAACCAGAATATTTGGACCGTTTCTCTTGGTCCATTCATCACGAAATTTTGAGATGATGACAGCAGGCATTTTCAAATAATGTCAAAAACTGAAAAACAACAAAAATGGAGATACGAGGTTTTGTTCTGATAGCAGCGATAAGCTTTAGATCAGTCGACATACAGACACGGTTAGGACACTGTTACATTGTTATGAGAAGGTAAATACGTCAAACATTAAAGTTATCACTCAAATCACCAATATTAGCTGGCTGGCTGTTTTGCTAACAATACTCATGTTCACAGAGGCAAACATGTTTTTCCTTCTTTGTAGCCCAAATACACAGAGGTCAAAAATTCCGAGCTTCCCACTTCCGAGCCGAGACGAACGCAGCATTAATATCTCAATAATAATGCTCAGGATGTGTCGATGTCTGGGATGTTGATTCTTGGTTTAAAGAATGATCAGCAGCCGGTTGCACCAGCTGAACGTGAGTTTGACCGTAAGTTGGAGTGTAAAGTCCATCCTAAACCTCATGTTGAGAGTAGTTAGTTTAAAACTAGCGACACACAGAGTTTCAGTTGCACCACAGACACTTACAGTACATCTTAACTAGCAGAGCGTAAAGTGAAGTCATTCTGTCACCCAGAATGACGTTTACACTCTGCAGCCAATCAGTAACATAGGAAACATTACACGCCTGATCTCCACATGCAGTGACATCACTCATATTTCTTTTCGTGCTGCATTTACTTCGCTCAAGGTGTGTCAGTCGTATTAGCTGTAACTCAAAAAGAGGCTGTGTTTTACAGTAAAGCGGTGTCCTCAAAGTGTCCGTGTCTTGTACGTGTGTTTACTCTGCTCTGCTGCTGGAATGTTTCCGATGTTCAAACTGGGCTCTCGTATACAGTATTTTAATGGCACTTTATCAATGAAGGGTCAGTAACGTTAGTGAAGTGGCAGGTAATGTAATCGCTGATGAATCTGCTGAATGACAGAAAGGAAATGTTAGCTATGTAAGTTTTCCCATCGTTCAGATCGACCAGCCATTTGAACTGATTTTACGGCAGAACTCACACCGACTACGGGGTGTGTGTCAAATTAAGTAATAACTCAAAGCTACGTTGAAACTATGTTACTTGATGCAACCGGTTAAATTCTAGTCGCTCGTAAACTTGCATTTTATGTTCAAACTAGGCTACGATTGAACTTCCGTTCAGATGGTGAAACTGCTGATCTTTTACACTGTGAATCTCTGTTTTTCAGCTTATGGAAAACTGCAGATCTGCTGTGCACTGTTGACGTTTTTGGTACGTATCACAAAGTCTCTCATAAACAAAAACCTCTTTCTGTTCAGAACAAACGTTTTTCACATATTTGCTTCCTGAAATCCTGCAGATCTGTGAGTGTGGAAACTTCTCCATTCACTTGGCTCTCAATCGGATCAGGTGCAATGGTGAGTCCTGATGACCACAGTTGTGATTTTTCCTTGAGCTCTGTCCATCTGAGTGCGGTCCATCTGTCCAGTTTACATCAGCTGGTGCTTATTATTGGTTTGTTTAATAACCGCCTACTTTACCAGGAAATACTCAGTTGACTGAAATGCAAATTGACCAGTTTTTGTTGCTTGACCAGTTGGGGTAGATGAGTATGAACACTGTGCTACAACAAAAATAGCAACAATAACAACAGAACACAACTGATGAGTTTTCAGCTTTGTTTGATGATTATCAAATAAACGCAACAACAGCTTTCAGAAATCACGTGATTAATCTGCTGAAACAGTCCTTTGTTGTCAAGGTGTCTCAAAGTCACGAATACAGTCAAGGAAGACTTTCTGTGGCTCCAAAGTTTGTTATAAAATGTAATGAAACTCAGTTTGACTGAATTAGAAGCTAGTAAACAAGAAATTTGCCCAGTCGTACTATGACTTGATTCTCTCGGGTTTGTTTTTGTTGTAGCACTCATGTTTTTGTGTTCACACTCATCTCAGTCGGGTCATTTTGCATGTCTGTCAAATAGTTTCCTGTTAAAGTAGCTGGTTTTTGGCAACATTGAGTGACAAAACACACCAGACTCGTTTTATCTTTGCTGCTGTGTAGCGGTACGCCCTTTACTGGTTCCAAGATTGTTCCTGCTAGAGATGGAATAATGGTGGCGCTGCTTTCACTGCAAATAATTGCAAAGACCAAACACTATTATACTCACAAACTGACTGCACAGACAGGGATTAAATAAAAATAAGCACACGATTGATTTCTCACCTGGGTTTTTATCGTTCTTAGCAGGAACGCGTCTGATTTGTGCCATCAGTGAAACCATGGTGATCAATGGTTAGTCCGAGTTCAGAAACGCCCACAGGTGATGAGCAATCAGTGATTTGGTAACTCTAACCACCAGGGGGTGCAAATCTTAAACCCCTGCCCTGAAACTGCTGGTGTAAAAATTGCAGATCTCCAGGTCTGAAGATGATGTTGGGATGTTGGGCCTTTATTCCTGACCCTACGCTGACTGTGCTCATGTGGCAGAATCTAACATGCTGCATGTCTCTGCTCTTCTACTGAATCACTTCTTCTGGCTCTGAATCAGCTCCTCATTACACCTCACACTTCTGGACAGTGTCCAGCTGGCCTGCGGCGAGGATATTTCCATTCCTTAATGTGCTCCCATGTCTCTCCTGTTGGCAGGGTCCAGGCCCAGACAGATTCCTTACCCGACTAAAAACCCCTTCACCTGGCTCTTCTTCTTCGTCTCCTGCCCGAACTACACATACGAGGTCTGTCAGCTTAAATAAGTGTTGAAGTGACTCGTTCCGTTTGGCTCTTTAAGTCAGAATGCAGAGTCGAGTCCTGGTGGGCCACTAATTTAACCCTGTAGATTTAGGGTGTACTCAGTATGTTTTGTACTCTGCCCAAGAACATTTATCCCCCCTCCCCACTTATGTACTGAATAATGCGGTCCTTGAGATGTAAACTAAGTCATTCAGAGCGGTTCAGAGTGGTTCAGAGTGGTTCAGAGTGGTTTGGTGTGAAACGCTCTGTTCTAGATAAACTTACCGAGTCAGAACTGTTCACAGTGGTGGTGACAGGAACCAGACGTCCCCCTCTAAAAGCTCCTCACAGAAAGTTCCTACATGAAATGGTTATGAATTCACTGCCTGATGACTGAGACACTGTTTTATGATAGTTTTGTGATAAAGTTTTTAGTCTAAAATGTATTTTAATCAAATTATCTTAGTCAGTTCATGGTGGAGGATACAAGAAGGATTTTGTAATGCAAAACAGTCCCCAAAGAAACTTAAATCATCCCCAAATCATCAACATCCCATATACACTCAGAAGACTCGTGTAGGTTCACTGGTGGTTCTGGATAGTAAATAAAATGTCTATATCTGTGTTGTAGTCATGGCGACCCCTGGTTCCTATCACCACCACTGTAAAGACGTCTGAACCATTTCACACCAAACATCTCTGAATCTCTCTGTTTACACCTCACACACTGAACTATGCAGACATTTTGAAAAATCAGTTGAATTCCCCTTTAAGCTGGAGAAACGTGTGAGCAGCTCCTTGTAGTTCCACTGTGTGATTTCTCCATTTGTTTCACAAGATTCAGATCAGCCCTCTGAAATGTAGTTTCTTCTACTCCTCATATCTTTCTCCAAACTGAACAGCAAAGAATGTGTATCAACATGACTGGGAAACACGTTTTGCATCCAGCGAGCTCAAAAATGTAGCATAGCCCCAAGTAGAGGTGGGCGATATGGTAAAAATATAACACTACAATACTTCAAGAAGCTTTCACAATAACGATACGTCACAATATTTATTTTTTCAGTCATCTGATCAGCTGGAACAGAGAAAAAGAGCCGAAAGAGCTACATTAAAAAATACTATCAAACACTGAACACAGTGATTCTTATTCAGAACTTCACTAAATCCAGTTATATGTACTAATTTTACTCTCTTTATAGTGAAACTGTCTACAAGTACTGGCGATATGCACAATACGATCAGAAAAGCAGACTGTATTGAATTGAGGAGCCTATGGAGTCTTTTTAAGTCGTTTTATGTACAGGGTGTAATGTAGGCCTGCGGTGAGAAGTCAGTCCGTTATAGGATAGAACTGCTCGATTTCAGCAGATTACATCTCTTTCTCGCCTCCAGAGGGAGGAGCCAAGGCGCGAGGAAAGGAAACAAGGATGAACAGTTCATGATCTTGTGGCCACATCTTTTATTGTGTGGGCGTGGCATAAATGTCAGAGCAGAATCAATGGAGCAGAAACTCCTGTAGCGCTGTGGCCCTCCAGGACACGAGATTAATGACTGGAAATGAATTTCTGTAACACGTCTGTGTAAAAACTAGTATTTTATGTCACTTTTTAAATTTTAAAATTCGGTATTTGGTTTCAGGTGGGCGCCTGGCTCAGCTTCGCGGTGATGACGCAGTGTGTTCCAGGTTTAAAGCTTTCATCTTTCACTCCTTGTTCTGCTACATGCTTAGAAAAATGGTTCTTCAAGGGTTGTTTAGTAAAGAAGATGGTTCTATATAGAACCATGAACACTCAAAGAGCCCTCCGCATGATTAACTGGTTCTTTTAATTGTAAAAACCTTGAAAAGCGTTCTTTATAGCACCAAAAAAGGGTTCTTGTGTTGTTTCATGCTTGACATCATAACAATAGCAGAACCCTTGTTGGTGCTGTATAGAAGCCTATACAACACATTCTAAATCAACCTGAAGAACCATTTCACCATGCAGAGAACTCTTTAATCATGAAAGGGTTCTTTGAGTGTTCGTGTTTCTATGTAGAATCATTGTCTTTACTAAAGAACCTTTGAAGAACCCTCTTTTCTAAGAGTGTACTGTGTAATCAGTCATGTCGCTGTGTGTCTGCTGGCCGATACCTGACCACAGCTCCTCTTTTCTGCCCACAGTCGCACTGTTTACGTTTGTAGGCTTTGTACAGATGACCATCTGGGCTCGGCGAAAGCACAGAACCTACCTGACGGAGTTTAAGGACTATCCTGAGCTCAGAAGTGCCATCGTTCCTCTCTTCCTGTAGACGAGAGAAGCACCGGGACGTTTGACTGATTCCCATAAGCAAAGGATCCAATAGAGAAGTGACCTTGAGTGACCTCTGATCTCGTACGTGTGTGAAAATGTGATTAGAGGTTAAGGGGACGATCCAAGATTGAGAAAAACGTGTTTACTGCCAGGGATTATGGGCACTGAGTGCAGAGAAAGGCATTTTGAAAGAAGAAGTAGATGCTGGTTAGGTGGAGTTCTGTACGTGAGCAAAGGGTTTTCATTACATGAGCGTCAGCAGGAGGCTTGTCTACTGGGCTTTAAGTGCTTTAAGTGAAATAAGCAGTCACTAAGGGCCCCTGAGCCACCAGGGGGCTCCACAGCTATGTGTTTTTTCATTAATTGTTTTAAACGTTAGGCTTGTTCGTCATAACGCAGCAGATTTATTACACGCTTCAATAATCTAAGAACAGCTCAGCCAGTTTGCACTGAAGTCCCTGTAGTTACTGAGTAATAAGCCTCAGTGTGTAATAAGCCTGAGATTTAAGGGGTTAATGATCAATCAGTCATGTACTGAATACAGCACATCTCTGAAAGCTGGAGTAGGTGATTTTGTAGAAAGCAGGACGTGTGAGCTATTTTTTTTCAAATTCGCTACATTCAGCCCTCTTTCCAATCATAGCCCCCCCCAAAACACATGAACACCATGGCTTGACTAGCCATCACCTCATCACCTCATCACCTCGTTTATAAACCGTCCCATTTAAAGCCAATCTAGACTTAGAACATAAGACAAATACCATCTAACATTAAAGCTACAGTGCATTACTAAAAATGGTATCTTAACAAGATTTTAAATCGTCTAAATTTCTAATATTTCTCATTTTGAAGTGGCTTGAAGATTATTCTACTTATTTCTAGATGTTTTTTATTCGGTTAAAGTAAAATTATCTCACTATAGTGGCAGATCATTTTGTTTATTTCAAGCAAATGTGTGTGAGTGAGTGTGTGTGTGTGTGTGTGTGTGTGTGTGTGTGTGTGTGAGTGAGTGTGTGTGTGTGTGTGTGTGTGTGTGTGTGTGTGTGTGTGTGTGTGTGTGAAAGATGTATGATGGACTCCACACGTGCGTAAACGAGCAGGTCGTGTATATTCTTAAAAAAGATGGTGCTTTAAGGGTTCCTTAGTAAATAAAATGGTTTATATAGAGTCTTTCTGAAAAGGGTTCTTCTATTGTTACAAGCTTGACATGACATCATAACAACAGAACCACCCTTTTGGGTGCCATATGGAACCATTTTCAAAAGGTTCTGTACAGAACCATCTACAGCAGATTCTCCATCAATGTGAACCATTTCAACATGCAAAGGAATATTTAATCATGCAAAACGTTGTTTGCATGATGTCATTGCTCAAGTCACATATATACTGCTTAACATTTCAGCCCCAATTTCAGCAAAACACCTTCCCGTGTCCCCGTGTCCGCGGTTCAGACGCTTAAACGGTAGCCGCTGTACAGATGAGCTACTGTGAGCAAAACGTGCTAGATAGCTACTTTACACCCATCTCTGACTGATCATTAATGCTGGAAACTACATTAAACAGCACTTCATTTGGTTCATCACTGAAATGCTTTTCTACACTTTTACTGAGAGAAGTTAACTGAGCTTTGGTTTTGGACATTTTATTGTGTTTACTGTTGCATTTTGATCAAAATGGTTTTTTTTTAAAAAAAAACCTCCTCATTGTATACATATTAATATTACTGGAGTGAGTGCAGGACCCAATTAGGTTGTCACTTAAGACCCCAAGTGTTCAGAAATGGGTTTGTATCTGTTATTTTCATTGTTGTTTTTAAGCGTTTACCCTTATTTTCTCATAAAATAAGTGTTTTGCATGTGTGAACTGTATCCAGAATATGATGAATGAGTTGTAAAGGTCAATTTATGCTTCTGCGTCGAATCTATGTGAATCCCACAGCCATGAACGCTACGCCGAACCCTGCGCCGAACCCTGCGCCGAACCCTGCGCCGAACCCTGCGCCGAGAGGCTCATGTCTGAGAGCACAAATTCAAATGTTTGGTGTTGAAGAGACAGAAAGATGAAGATAGAATTGGTGTAATTTCAGAGCTGCATATACACGGCAAAAAATCTTAAATCTAGTCAACATATCTAATATTTCCCATTCTGAGAGGGTTGTGCACTTATTATAAGATTATCTACCTTAATTCTAGACACTTTTTACTTGTTTTTTTCGTGATTTTATAAGTAAATTTATAGTGGCAGATAATTTAGCTGGTTTCAAGCTCATTTCTTACAACAAGCAAAATTATTTGCCAATATAGTGAGATAATTTTACTTATAAAATCACGAAAAACAAGTAAAAAGTGTCCAGAATTAAGGTAGATAATCTTATAATAAGTGCACAGCCATCTAAAAATGGGAAATGTTAGATATGTTTACTAGATTTAAGATCATTTCACTCGACAGGACTCACAACAGTGTTGACTCAACACAGAAGCGTAAAACAGTCCTAAGCAGGATGGTTAGTGTATCTGTGAAGACGGGCTGCTGAAGCGTGTAATGGAAAGGTTTCTGTCTGAAGATTGTGTGAAGGAATTATTCTCGGTTCATATAAAGACTAATCAGTGTTTAAAGACTACAAACAGTCTGAACTGTTAGGCTGTAGTTTTTCCTCCCTGGTTCACTGTTTGGGTTGATCAATACAGTTAAATACTGTAAAAGGCTGGATGGATGTGACAAAAAACCTTTTTTGAATGAATATTAAAACTGAAAGGCAAATATTTGTTGTGCTTGGTCTCATTTTGCATCGAACATCAAACATGAAAAGAGGAATTCAACTGATTTTTCAAAATGTCCGCATAATTGAGTGTGTGAGATGTGAACAGAGTGATTCAGAGTGGTTTGGTGTGAAACGGTTCCCCTTTAGGGCTGTATCTCGATTCACTAACTAGTTCTGTATGTAATGAATCATGATATTAAATATGAATTCGGGTGCTGGCTCAGTCCTGGAGGGGGAACACTGGTCCCATATTAGGAACTCTAGGTCTAAGTTTGATTTCACTATGGCCAGAATGAATAGGGTTTCCAAAAATCGCCTCTAGCGCCCCCTGTGTTAATTAAAAATGTTCAGAACCCGATACGTTCTGTCCATTTTTCTCCTTAATACCACTGGATCCTCCGAATTACGAGGTCGTTAAAGAGCTATAATACTAATATTGCTACATGCGAGCTAAAGCTGCTGCGCACAATTTGATGTCACTAAGCTACACGAAACTAAGGTGGGCTGTGGCGCTGCTCTGACAAGCTGTGCTACCTTATTGAAATGTTCTACCGTAGCGCATGTTTACAGGTAGACCCATAAATAAAACCTCTAGGTGGGATATTTTGATAGAATAAAACTCCTTATCAAAAATACTACCAGCATTAAAACTACGAGGCTGAATTCAGCTTCTTTTTTAGCAGCTTTTTGTTTGAATGTTCCCGTTCCACCTTAAGGTGCAGCTGTTGTGATGAGCCATCACAAACATTAGCAATTGGGACAAAACAATACTGACCTGTCGGTTCTGTAAAACAGCAAAAATAAGTTAATGTCTCTCAGCTGTTCAGCAGAAACCTCCTCATATCAGGCCTTTCAACCCTCCATGAAACTGAAGTCAGCTTCTTTTTCTCCGGCTGCTTATTCGAATTTCCCGTTCCACCTTAAATGGCACTGCAGTTCAGAACGTGACTGCTGCACCATTTGAAGTGGAGCAGGAAAAGTCGAACAAGAAGCTGGCGAATGTCCTGAGAAAATATCATCAGAAAAATGTCACCAGCATTAAAATAATGATGAGGATATTCTGAGAGCCTAAATCTGCTGATCAGGTGGTCAGCAGTGATATTAAGCTGAGTCTGTACTGGAGCAGCCCGAGTGCAGGTCAGTTTGTAGATCTTCAAATCAAGCTGTACAGAATATAAAGATCTGCTGTGTTCAGTGAGAATCAGATGAAGAACAGAGAACTGCAGGAGAACCAGCTCCTTTTGTTCAGACTTCTTTTATCTGCACTCAGTCTGTTCATGGAAACACACACCACACTGGCAAAGTGTGCTGGTTTGTGTAGTTTTTAAGGAGGCTGCCAGTCTAATGACGTCAGTTCAGTGCGCAGTAGCTTTAGCTTACATATAGCAATATTCATATTTCAGAGGATCCAGTGATATTCGAGAGAAGAATGTTCACAGGACAGAACGTATCAGCTTTGGGACATTTTTGATGATCAAAAACTCCATTTGTTCTTCTCAAAGAGAAATTCCTTCATTTTTATCACCTTTTTCACATTTCAGCTTTGGCGATATTCTAACTTTTCCACCTCGTCCTACTGTATAACTCTTTTTGCAATATTTCTGGCCTTTCCTCTCTTTTTTGGCACAAATAATTGGTGGATTCAAAACCCGCGACGGTCAGCTGGGCTGTTTGATGATTAAGTGTCACTTAGTAAATTCATTTGCAGGTTAATTGTAAACTGCAGGTTTACAGCACTGCTGCCACTGTGAAGTGAAAGGAACAATTACAGCATCCTGCATTTCATTGTCTCTGTACCTGTACTCTGCACGATGACAAAGTTGAACCTAATCTAATCTAATCTAATCTAATCTAATCTAAACATTAACTGGAGGGCCAATCAAAACCAATTCACAGGCCACGTCAGGCCCTGGGGCCAGACATTGCACCCTGACCCATACAGTGTTTATCCTCCATTTTAAAAGTTTTTTCCCGTTTTAAAACTTTATGAAAGTTGAGCTGTGTCCGGTCAGGGAGCAAAGTGGACAGTCAATGCTCACTGTTTCTTACAGTGCCCTGTGGGAACGTTCCAGTGCACCGGAATCATTTTGGCAGTGAGACACCCTAGAAAATGGCTGATTCCCTGAGCAGAACCCTGAACTATGAGCTCTTTGAGACACAGACAAAAACAGACCGAGAACCATTTATCGTTTCTGATTAATTTAATACTGACTTTAACAGTTAGAACAGTAAGCTATGAAGGTGGTTTAGAGCTGCAAACCAGAAAAATAGATTTTGGATTTGGAGTCCATAGAAAGTTCCAGCAAGTGTGCATGCAATGGCAAAAAACAAAAACAGGCACGGCTGTGTCTACAGCTACGCTGTATTATGAAAGATATCTTAGATTGTGGAAAAAGCGCAGAAAAATTATATTTACATAATGTGCAAACATGTAAACCATTTGATAGTACAGGGAGTCCTCCTACACTGCAGTCCGAATACTTCTGATTCAGTCCTTAATACAGGATTATTACAGTTAAATATAAAATCTCCCAGACGTAGAAAACAAGACCGGGACGTTTGTGTTCGTGTGTTCAGCAACAGGGAAATAAAACAGCCAGAAAATGTCAGAATATCCTGACCAGACACGGTTAAGATTCTCCAGATTCCTGATCTAAAAGGCCTTCAGCAGCTTTACTAACGTGGTCAGTATGTTCTGATATTTCTGTGAGGTTCTGCTCTGGCGCTGCTGTTATCTGCCGTTTTTCGAGGTTGCTGTGAGAGGAGAAATCTTCATCTCTCTCCGCGCTCCAGCTGCCCTGGGATGAAGAACTACGTCATCATCCTCACCCGACTGCTGCTTGGCAAAGTTCACAAACACCTGCCGATAAAGGAGGAAGACGGTCAGACTGCAAAGGAGAGACTAATATAAATCACCCACACGTCCCCCACACATCACCCACACGTCCCCCACACATCACCCACACGTCCCCAACACATCACCCACACATCACCCACACGTCCCCAACACATCACCCACACATCCCCCACACATCACCTACATTACCCACATCACCCACATCACCCACACATCACCCACACATCACCCACACATCACCCACACATCACCCACACATCACCCACATCACCCACACATCACCCACACATCACCTACATTACCCGCACATCACCCACACATCACCCACACATCACCCACATCACCCACACATCACCCACACATCACCCACACGTCACCCACACGTCACCCACACATCACCCACACGTCCCCACACATCCCCACACATCCCCACACATCACCCACACATTCCCACACGTCCCCACACGTCACCCACACATCACCCACACATTACCCACACATCCCCACACATCACCCACATCACCACACATCACCCACACATCCCCACACTTACCCACACATCACCCACACGTCACCCACATCACCCACACATCACCCACACATCCCCACACGTCACCCACACATACCCACACTCACCACACATCACCCACACATCACCCCACACTCACCCACACATCACCCACACGTCACCCACACGTCACCCACACATCACCCACACGTCCCCACACATCCCCACACATCACCCACACGTCACCCACACGTCACCCACACATCACCCACACATCACCCACATCACCCACACATCACCCACATCACCCACACATCACCCACACATCACCCACATCACCCACACATCACCCACACATCACCCACACATCACCACACATCACCCACACATCACCCACACTCACCCACATCCCCACACATCACCCACACATTCCCACACCACCCACACATCACGCACACATCACCCACACATCACCACACACCCACACTCCCCACACATCACCTACATTACCCACACATCACCCACACGTCACCCACACATCCCCCACACGTCACCCACACATCACCCACACGTCACCCACACATCACCTACATTACCCACACATCACCCACACATCACCCACACATCACCCACACATCCCCCACACGTCCCCAACACATCACCCACACATCACCCACACATCACCCACACATCACCCACAGGTCCCCACACATTCCCACACGTCCCCACACATCACCCACACATCACCCACACATCCCCACACATTCCCACACATCACCCACACATCACCCACACATCCCCACCTATCACTTACACATCCCCACACATCACCCACACATCACCCACACATCGCCACACATCCCCACACATCACCCACACATCCCCACATCACCCACACATCACCCACACGTCCCCACACATTCCCACACATCACCCACATCACCCACACATCACCCACACGTCCCCACACATCACCCACACATCACCCACACGTCCCCACACGTCCCCACACATCACCTACATTACCCACACATCCCCACACATCACCCACACATCACCTACATCACCCACACATCCCCACACATCACCTACATCCCCCACACATCACCTACATTACTCACACATCACCACACGTCCCCACACATCACCTACGTTACCCACACATCCCCACACATCACCCACACATCCCCACATCACCCACACATCACCACACGTCCCCACACATCACCTACGTTACCCACACATCCCCACACATCACCCACACATCCCCACATCACCCACACATCACCACACATCCCCACACAAAGTTCACAAACACCTGCCGATAAAGGAGGAAGACGGTCAGACTGCAAAGGAGAGACTAATATAAATCACCCACACGTCCCCCACACATCACCCACACGTCCCCAACACATCACCCACACATCCCCCACACATCACCTACATTACCCGCACATCACCCACATCACCCACACATCACCCACACATCACCCACATCACCCACACATCACCCACAGGTCCCCACACATTCCCACACATCACCCACACATCACGCACACATCACCCACACATCCCCACACATCACCTACATCACCCACACATCCCCACACATCACCTACATTACCCACACATCACCCACACATCACCCACACATCCCCCACACGTCACCCACACGTCACCCACACATCACCCACACATCACCCACACATCCCCCACACGTCACCCACACATCACCCACACATTACCCACACATCCCCACACATCACCTACATTACCCACACATCACCCACACATCACCCACACATCCCCCACACGTCACCCACACGTCACCCACACATCCCCCACACATTACCCACACATCCCCACACATCACCTACATTACCCACACATCACCCACACATCACCCACACATCCCCCACACGTCACCCACACATCACCCACACGTCACCCACACATCACCCACACATTACCCACACATCCCCACACATCACCTACATTACCCACACATCACCCACACATCACCCACACATCCCCCACACGTCACCCACACGTCACCCACACGTCACCCACACATCACCTACATTACCCGCACATCACCCACATCACACATCACCCACACATCACCCACACGTCACCCACACATCACCCACACGTCACCCACACATCACCCACACGTCACCCACACGTCACCCACACATCACCCACATCACCCACACATCACCTACATTACCCGCACATCACCCACATCACACATCACCCACACATCACCCACACGTCACCCACACATCACCCACACGTCACCCACACATCACCCACACATCACCCACACGTCACCCACACATCACCCACACATTCCCACACATCACCCACACATCACGCACACATCACCCACACATCACCTACATCACCCACACATCCCCACACATCACCTACATTACCCACACATCACCCACACGTCACCCACACATCCCCCACACGTCACCCACACATCACCCACACGTCACCCACACATCACCTACATTACCCACACATCACCCACACATCACCCACACATCACCCACACATCCCCCACACGTCCCCAACACATCACCCACACATCACCCACACATCACCCACACATCACCCACAGGTCCCCACACATTCCCACACGTCCCCACACATCACCCACACATCACCCACACATCCCCACACATTCCCACACATCACCCACACATCACCCACACATCCCCACCTATCACTTACACATCCCCACACATCACCCACACATCACCCACACATCGCCACACATCCCCACACATCACCCACACATCCCCACATCACCCACACATCACCCACACGTCCCCACACATTCCCACACATCACCCACATCACCCACACATCACCCACACGTCCCCACACATCACCCACACATCACCCACACGTCCCCACACGTCCCCACACATCACCTACATTACCCACACATCCCCACACATCACCCACACATCACCTACATCACCCACACATCCCCACACATCACCTACATCCCCCACACATCACCTACATTACTCACACATCACCACACGTCCCCACACATCACCTACGTTACCCACACATCCCCACACATCACCCACACATCCCCACATCACCCACACATCACCACACGTCCCCACACATCACCTACGTTACCCACACATCCCCACACATCACCCACACATCCCCACATCACCCACACATCACCACACATCCCCACACATCACCTACGTTACCCACACATCACCCACACATCCCCACACATCCCCACACATCACCTACCTCACCCACACATCACCTACATCACCCACACATCACCCACACATCACCTACATCACCCACACATCACCACACGTCCCCACACATCACCTACCTCACCCACACATCACCCACACATCACCTACATCACCCACACATCACCTACATCACCCACACATCACCCACACATCCCCACACATCACCTACATCCCCACACATCACCTACATTACTCACACATCACCACACATCCCCACACATCACCTACGTTACCCACACATCACCCACACATCCCCACACATCACCCACACATCACCCACACATCACCCACACATCCCCACATCACCCACACATCACCCACACATCCCCACCTATCACTTACACATCCCCACACATCACCCACACATCGCCACACATCCCCACACATCACCCACACATCCCCACATCACCCACACATCACCCACACATCACCTACGTTACCCACACATCACCCACACATCCCCACACATCACCCACATCCCCACACATCACCCACACATCACCCACACATCCCCACATCACCCCCACATCACCCACACATCACCCACACATCCCCACCTATCACTTACACATCCCCACACATCACCCACACATCACCCACACATCGCCACACATCCCCACACATCACCCACACATCACCCACACATCCCCACATCACCCCCACATCACCCACACATCCCCACCTATCACTTACACATCCCCACACATCACCCACACATCACCCACACATCGCCACACATCCCCACACATCACCCACACATCCCCACATCACCCACACATCACCCACACATCCCCACCTATCACTTACACATCCCCACACATCACCCACACATCACCCACACATCACCCACACATCCCCACACATCACCCACACATCCCCACATATCACCCACACATCCCCACATCACCCACACATCACCCACACATCCCCACATATCACCCACACATCACCTACATTACCCACACATCACCCACACATCACCCACACATCACCCACATATCACTTACACATCGCTGCACATCACCCATACATCATCAACACATGACCCACATCACTCACACATCACTTACTCATCCCCACACACCTCTTACATACCCGCACACATCACTTACACGTCCCCACACACAACTTACACATCCCTACACATCACTTACTGATCCCCACACACCTTTTACACATCCCCACACACCTCTTTCACATCACCACACATCAATTACTCATCCCCACACACCTCTTACACGTCCCCAAATTAATGTAGGGATGTTATAAGATTATTTAGCCTGTATGTTTTACTTGTTTTAAGTAATTTTATCTGGTAAAAGTGTCTGATTCCACTGGCAGATCATTTTATTTAGCTTGAGAAATCATGCTTGAAACCAGTTAAATGATCTGCCACTGTTCTGTGTGGGCGGGGCCATAGACGCAGCCCTGTGATTGGTCAGGGGAATGTTTACTGAAGCGTTACCCAAAATTAGGACTGTCCAATTTACATCGAGAGGAGAGAAATATGGTGAAATATATCGGTCATTTATTGGTCAGTGGAACATTATTCAAAGGGTGAATTTAGGCGGTCAGTGCAGTGTGTAAACGGGGGGTGATATGAGCCAGACAGGGTCAGCCGTTCCGTCAGTTTTGGAAATCAGTAAAGTCTAAAAAGATTTCTATTTCATATATTAAGCTACTGCAAACAGACAAAGTGAACACTGGTTTAAAAGAGAAATGAACAGCTATGATGGACAGTGTACGTCATTTCTCTCTGTCTGTGGTCATTCACCTGGTCCAGCGTTGTCTGAGACACAGAGTAGTCCTCGACGTTCAGCTTCTCCTTGTTGGCTGCCACTAGCTGGAAGACGCGAGCGAGGGACGAGGCTGCGATCTCGTACTGCAGAGTGTTGTAGTGCTTCTCCCGCTGGACGCAGCCCGGAAAACTGCTGTCCATAAATGCCTCGGCTGGACCCAGGTCAGGAGACAACCCTGCTTTGGCTGCTCGGATCTTCATTGTCACCACGTAACCATCGCCAAACCTGACCACACATAGACACAAAAGGCCATCACCAAACCTGACCACGCATAAACACAAAAGGCCATCACCAAACCTGACCACACATAGACACAAAAGGCCATCACCAAACCTGACCACACATAAACACACACAACCATCACCAAACCTGACCACACATAAACACAAAAGGCCATCACCAAACTTGACCACACATAAACACACACAACCATCACCAAACCTGACCACACAAACACAAACAACCATCACCAAACCTGACCACACATAAACACACACAACCATCACCAAACCTGACCACACATAAACACACACAACCATCACCAAACCTGACCACACATAAACACACACGACCATCACCAAACCTGACCACACATAAACACAAAAGGCCATCACCAAACCTGACCACACATAAACACACATAACCATCACCAAACCTGACCACACATAAACACACACAACCATCACCAAACCTGACCACACATAAACACAACCATCACCAAACCTGACCACACATAAACACACACAACCATCACCAAACCTGACCACACATAAACACACACAACCATCACCAAACCTGACCACACATAAACACAACCATCACCAAACCTGACCACACATAAACACAACCATCACCAAACCTGACCACACATAAACACACACAGCCATCACCAAACCTGACCACACATAAACACACACAACCACCACCAAACCTGACCACACATAAACACAACCATCACCAAACCTGACCACACAAAAACACACACAACCATCACCAAACCTGACCACACATAAACACAACCATCACCAAACCTGACCATACATAAACACAACCATCACCAAACCTGACCACACATAAACACAACCATCACCAAACCTGACCACACATAAACACAACCATCACCAAACCTGACCACACAGAAACACACACCAGTGTTCTTTGGTTTGTTGAGCTGTAAAATAAGTGAATAATATCATTAATCTGAACTCGGAGCTTCTAAGACTTCCTGTGCTGCTCGTCTTAGTCTTTGTTCCTGTTTGAGCTGCTTTCAGCTCAGGTTAAACTCCTCAGCTCTGCTGCTCTTCTGTCCTCTAACACCGCTCCATCATCCTCATTCACCAGAACCAGACGTCCGGAACATTTACTGTCTCTAAAATGGTAATGAATGCGTCACCTGATCCCTGAGACATTGTTTTGTGATAGTTTTGGCCTAAAATGTCATTTTTAATATAAACTATCACTCCAGGATTATTTCTGGGTTAGGGTTAGGGTTAGGGTTAGGGGTAGGGTTACCCTCTAACCCCTCACTCTCAGCTGAGATCAATGCGCGAGCTAACATGCTTTTGTTGTTACTGCCTGCAGCTACAGCTGTTCAACACGGCTAACGGCAGCAGCTTCTGTTTACAGTTCATTTTTACAGTTTTCTTACTGTAACAGTTACAGTTTACTCTTTTTGGAAGATGGCGGACTTAGAAGAGGTCTGTTTCCAAAATGTTGTAGAGCCAAATCGATTTGAGCCAGAACACACAAATGAGTTGCAGTGGCTTGGACAGAAAGAGAGAGAGAGAGAGGGAGAGAGAGAGAGGGCGAGAGAGAGAGAGGAGAGAGAGAGAGAGAGAGAGAGAGAGAGAGAGAGAGGAGAGAGAGAGAGAGAGAGAGAGAGAGAGAGACAGAGAGAGACAGAGAGAGAGAGAGAGAGAGAGAGAGAGAGAGAGAGAGAGAGAGACAGAGAGAGAGAGAGAGAGAGACAGAGAGGGGGGGGGAGAGAGGGAGAGAGAGAGAGAGAGAGAGACAGAGAGAGAGAGAGAGGAGAGAGAGAGAGAGAGAGAGAGAGAGAGAGAGACAGAGAGAGAGAGAGAGAGAGAGAGAGAGAGAGAGAGAGCAGAGAGAGGGAGAGAGAGAGAGACAGAGAGAGAGAGAGAGAGAGAGAGACAGAGAGAGAGAGAGAGAGCCCGTCGGCACCAAAGCAGAACAACAAAGGGCGAATTGGAAATTTTGATAGCAGATAAAATGGTGATATTTGTAGTGTAGTGTGGACACGAGGACGTCCGGTTCCTCGTACCACAAGGGTGAAGAATCTTTCGGTAAATTTCTCTAGAAAGGTACATTTCACACCAAACCACTCTGAATAATTTTATTTACATCTAAACCATAGAAAACGAGTTCCACCTTAATCTTTAATTAAGGTTTTAATTCAATGTTAAACTCATCAGAATCATGATTTTAATTTCTATTCTCCTACATTTTATTAATTTTAATTTGAATTATCTGCATTTCTCTTTTGTAAAGCACTTTGAATGACAGCATTGTATAAATAAACTTCACATAAAGCACTTTAAAGCTTTCCTTAAAATACAATTGTCGACCAAGATTTACATTTTTTGCAAAGCACTCTGCAATTTTTTAAAGTTAAGCTATAAATAAAATAAATGACATCTTAGCAAAACATCTTAAATATTAGTCAATATACCTGATGTTTCTCTTTATGAGACTAATGTTGGCATATTATAAGATTATTTAGCCTATTTCTAGATATTTTTACTTGTTTTAAGCAATTTAATATAGTAAAAGTGTCTGATTCCACTGGCAGATCATTTTACTTAGTTTGAGAGATAATGCACATATACATTTTGTTTATTTAAAGAAATCATGCTTGAAACCAGTTAAATGATCTGCCAATGGATTAAAACACTTTCATCAATAAAATCACTCAAAACAAGTAAAAATGTCTGGAATAAGTTAATCTTATAATATTATCACAACACTCTCATAATGAGAAATATTAGATATACTGACTAGATTTAAGATTTTTTCCTGTTTTCTGATGTTTGCAGTGCATTAGTAGACGCAGAAGCATTAAAACAATAAGATGTTAATACACAGAAAAACACAGTGGAATGCAGTCTTAGACTTACTTGTATTTGAGGTGCTGAATGGTGCCGAGACACTTGAAAGTCCCGTTGACCATGATGGCCAGACGGGTGCATAAAGCCTCACATTCCTCCATACTGTACACATCCAAAATCACAGCGTTACTAAAAACATCTTAATCCCAGCGATAAACAAGGTTATGAGTGATCAGTTTAATTTAACGTTTATTAAACTGGACACTGCAGAAAATGGTGCCTTGGCAAGTGAAATGATCTTAAATCTAGTTGATATAACTAACATCTCTCACTGTGAGGCTGTTCTAAGCTTCTTATAAGATTTTAACTTATTTCTAAATATTTTTACTTGTTTTAAGTGATTTTATTAAGTCAGATTATCTCAGTATATTAGCAGATAATTGTGCTTGTTGTGATAAATATGCCTGAAACAAGCAAATTTATTTGCCAATATCGTGATTTGACTTAATAAAATCACTCAAAACAAGTAAAAAATGCCCAGAAAGAACTTAAATAATCTCATAATAAGTTCACAACAATCTCAAAATGAAATATATCAGTTATGTCAACCAGATATAAGATAATTTCACCATATTTACAGTGTAGTGTCTGTTTGGAGGCTGTCTTGCCTGTGAGAGGTCAGAACTACTGCCCTCCCGTCCCGGATGATGCTCATAATAGCGTTCCACAGGAAGCGGCGAGAGTGGGGGTCCATGCCTGTGGTGGGCTCGTCCTGTAACAGCGAGCTGAGATTAGAGGATTGCTAATCATTAGCAACACGTGAGAGTTAGCTGAGGCTGAGGGTCTTACCAGCAGGACCAGAGGTGGGCAGCCGATCATGGCTATGGCTGTGGAGAGCTTCCTCTTGTTGCCCCCGCTGTAGGTACCAGCACACCGGCCAGCGTACTCCGACAGGCCCAGCTTCTGAATGCCCCACTCTGCCACCTGCAGGACAGAGGAGACGGTTCTGTTTTCATATCAATATTCAATTCAACTTTATTAAACATATACAGTAAAACGAAACTAGTTCAGGCCGCTTCTCTGCATAAACACTAAGACAAGGACATAAATGCACATGTACAAGAGGGATAGCGAAAAATATATACACAAAATAAGTACAAAAAACATCAGACAATAAATAATCAATAAACCAGAGACACTGAATGTGCTGGTGCAGAGGCAGCGTGTATACGGATGTACAACATGTGCAAAATATGCGCAGCAATTTTCAGCAGCAGTGATCAGTAAACAATGGTATGAAAGTCAGTTTAGTGTTCTGTCCAAATATATATGAAAGCTGTCAGCAGTTCAGGATAACAGACTCTGAGGCAGGTGTATCAAACTGGGTTCCTTCCAGGCCTCAGCTTATCAGCTAATTAGCAAGACCTTCAGGAGCTGAATTCAGACTGTTGCAGAAGTAAAAACCTTATTCTCAGCAGAGCTGCAGCACAGAAAGAATCCAGTTTGACTCCTCTGAGCTGTCAGAGCTGATCATCATGTCAGAGCTGAATATTACGACTATAATGATTATAATATATATGTGACATATAATGACTACTCAAACTCTCAGAATCTTCTCTTCTGCAGGACCTTTTCTAATTTTTAACTGCAGGACCTTTTCTAATTTTTGACTGCAGGACCTTTTCTAACTTTTTGTCTGCAGGAGCTTTTCTAACTTTTTGTCTGCAGGATCTTTTCTAACTTTTTGACTGCAGGACCTTTTCTAACTTTTTGTCTGCAGGAGCTTTTCTAACTTTTTGTCTGCAGGACCTTTTCTAACTTTTGACTGCAGGACCTTTTCTAACTTTTTGTCTGCAGGACCTTTTCTAACCTTTTGTCTGCATGATCTTTTCTAACTTTTTGTCTGCAGGACCTTTTCTAATTTTCGTCTGCAGGGCCTTTTCTAACTTTTTGTCTGCAGGACCTTTTCTAACCTTTTGTCTGCAGGACCTTTTCTAAGAGGGAGATGGGGGCCATCCTGCCCTGAGGACTGTGCTCTCTTGGACTCCTGGCCATGGATGGCTGGGATTAAGCTCGCGATCTTCTGATGACAGGACCAACGCTTAGATGGTTGTGCAGGACCTTTTTGACTGTGGGACCTTTTCTAACTTTTTGAGTGTGTGGCCTTGTGTACACTCACTCGGCTGATCTCTCTCTCAGGGACTCCGCGGAGGCGAGCATACAGGTAGAGATGCTCTCGGCCTGTCAGCAGCTCATCGATAGCGTCAAACTGGGGACAGTAGCCCATGTTCTGATGTACATCCAGGATATTGGTAAGGATACTAACAAATGAAGACACATATAATAAATGAATGACACTCATTAATGAGTGAAATGATCAGAAACTCCTCTTCATGAATCTGTATTATTTTAGGTTATAGGTAGGTTAAGAATATGCATTAAGACTACATATGAAAACGCTCGTATTTTTGGATGCTAGAATACCTGTAACCAGCCACTGAAGCCTCGCCGGAGGTGACGTCTGTATCTCCAGTCAGCATTTTGAAAGTAGTAGTTTTTCCAGCTCCGTTCACACCGAGGAGCCCAAAGCACTACAAATCAACCAGCTGGTGTTAAAATGAAGAACTTGTATTCATTGTTTTTGTTTTTTCTGTCATCCAAAGTCATTATTAAGTTTATCACTTTGTTTACAGATGTGGGAAACGTGAAACACTCATCTTTAAATGTGATATTTTATTGTTTATTGGTTCTCTCTATTCAGGGCTACAGACAGCTCAGTGCTCAGGCTGCCACTTCAGAATTTCCTGCTTGTACGTTTAGCTAATTTATCTAGTTTAGCACTGAGCTTACTACCAAAATTATAGGGCCAAACGTGGAGCACAGCAGCAAAGCTTGAAGGGAAAATGCTGTAGAAACACAGGATTTATTTGTCTTTTATAAGAAACAAATAATGTTCTCTCAGATACCTCCCCAGCTGGAACCCCCACACAGATTCTGTCCACTGCTGGCCTCTTCCTGCCCACATACGTCTATGAATAAACAAAAGATGTGCAGCTTCAAGGGAACCGAAAGATAATGGTACTTGTTTTCTCTCAAAGCTTACGGGTGAAAAGATCTCTCAACAGAAAAGGTGTCTAATCAAACATTAAGAGATGATTCAATTAAAAACACACTAAAATGTTTAATCTGTGGTCAAGCAGATGAAAAACGCTTGGTACAAGGATGCAGTGGTTGGTCAGTGCACCTTTGACAGGTCTCTTATGTGCAGGATGTCGTTTTTGCTGCCTCCGCTGTAGATCCGCTGCCTCTCCTGAGCTACATCATCATCTTCATCATGAACAGGAATGCTGCTGTAGCCAGATAACCTGCAGAAAATCAAGCCATATTCTTCACAACAAAGCACTTTGATGGCGCCGTGAATGAGCGATAAATGCGGGGATGGAGGCTTTGTGTGATCGAATGACAGGGATTGTTCTTCTGCGCCTCCCTCACCAGTGATCGAGGAAGAATCTGTACTGGATGAGGAGATTCAGGATGAAGTAGACAAAACCCTCCACAGCCATACAGGCCAGGTACTTCCCCACGAAGTCCCACCTGAACGGGTCCACAGTGTATTCCTCCCCTTTAGAAGAAGGAAAAGGAAAATGCATTGATGCAGATCATATTTCAGAAAAGCGTGAGCCGATGTTGATGAGTGTAGTTTTCATTGTTATCTCTCAAGGAAAATATCAATTTGCATGAAGCCATTCTTACAAAAAACATTGGTAATTCTTGAAGAACTTGTTTGTGTTTTGATCGAAACACAACTTGTCATCAGTTACTGCACCAAGGTAGTTGTAGCTGTTCACACTTTCAACTGTGATGCCATCAAGTGTTGTAAACAGTCTTCATCTCTCACCTGAAACTGATCACCATCCGTATGTTTTTATCAAAGCTTTAGAAATGAATCCTTACACCACCACACAAACTCATCCACTGTCAGACCATGACGGTTCTCACTGGAATAAGAACGTTATATTTATCTCGTCTGATTAGACCTTTACTTTGTCATATGTTTTATTATGATGGTCCACATCAGAGGCTAGTAAAGCTAAACCTGACCCTAAGCCTAACATTCGCTTTAACCTTAACCCCAATCCAAAGCCTAAAAATTAATTCTGGAACTTAAGTGGTCCAGAGTAAGAACTGTCTCAACAACGTTGTTAAGGTGTTGTTATTTGGAAGGGCCCAGCCTGTGCTGCCGGCTGCCAGCAGAGGGCGATGGCGGAGAGGTGCCCAGCCTAGTTGGTTAACAATCATACTATTTTTCCGTAAGCTAAAGGAGACCGTTAGGGCCGTCGCGCTGATGATTAATCATCATATAAATAATTGTGATGAATGATTTAATAGTCTAATCTTGTTCTTTTTTGCCTTCATTAAAGCACAAAACTAAAGTGGCCAGATTTTTCTTGGTTTGAGACAGTTGTATGAAAATTATGAGATTGTTTATCTTATTTCTAGATGCTTTTTACCTGTTTTGAGTAATTTTATTATGTAAATTTATCTCACTATACTGGCAGATAGTTGTGCTGGTTTCAAGCTCATTTCTTAAAATAAGCATAATTATCTGCCAATATAGTGAGATAATTTTACCTGAAATAGTTTACTAAAAACAGGTAAAAAGTATCTAGAGATAAGATAAACAATCTTATTATAAGCTGACAATAATTTCAACATGAGGAATATTAGATGTATGATAAGATACCATTGATTGCAGTGCAACTGAAAACTCACTCACTGCTGCTCGTCTTACTCTGACTGGACTCACGTGATGCTGGGTGTCATGGTAACGTCTACCCTAAGCAGTTCTCTACACTCTTAAAAACGATGGTTCTTCAAGGGTTCTTTGGAAAAGAAAATGGTTCTATATAGAACCATGAACACTTAAAGCACTGAAAACCTTTTGACGATTAAAAATCAAAATGCTTCTTCAGATTGGTGGAGAATGCGCCGTATATTGTTATATATAGAACCTTTTGGAAAAGAGTTCTATACAGCACCAAAAAGGGTTCTTCTATTGTTTTGATGTCAAGCTCATAACAATAGAAGAACCCTTTTAGGTGCTAAATCTTCAGATAGATGGAGAGAGTGCTGTAGATGGAAACTTTTTAAAAAGTATTCTATATAACACCAAAAAGGGTTCTTTTATTGTTTCAATGTCTAGCTTTTAACCACAGAAGAACCCTTTTAGGGAGTTATATAGAACCATTGTCAAAAAGGTTTATATAGAACCACCTACAGCACATTTTCCATCAATCTAAAGAACGATTTCACCACGCAAAGAACCTTTTAATCATGCAAAGGGTTCTTTGCATTCTTTGAGTGTTCACGGTTCTATACAGAACCATTTTCTTTACTAAAAAACCTTGAAGAACCATCAAGTATGTACATATGCATGTAACTGTGGATCGGATCACGTAGTGAGCATGTAAACAGAGATTTTAATCAGACTGTTGAGTAGAGTGAGAGTAAACACCTCAGTCTGAATCTGTGATCAGCCTGTATTCAGTGTTTACAGCAGCATAATATGACTGAAATCTAACGACTGTGGAAAAAGACTGCAGTCAGCTCAAATAACTGTGATCAGGTGATGATGTAATAACTGTAACAGGCCTGGAGACTATAAAATAAAATGGACCCATATTTCTACATAACCTGACCCTTACTGAGTCAGTCTGAGGCCAACAAACGAAGCCCTTCTATCTCTGAAAGGTCAGTCCAGTCTCTGTAATCAACTCCTGTTATGTCGCAGGGCTGACTGTGATGTCTTTCTACTGGGTAAAGGTACTGAAGCTGTGGGACACATGAGAAACTCACCGAATCGGGCGTAGACGTCGGTCACTGCCTGGTTCATGGCCAGGTCGATGAGGCCTCGGCCCAGACAGAAGTGGGGAAAAATCAGCAGCACCTTCTTCAATCCCTCGTTAAACATCAGGAGAGACTGGAGACACAGTGAAATAGAAACAGAACACATTATACTAGCATGAACTCTATAACACCTTCAGTGTAAAAACGTCCTTCCTGCTTTCATTAACGTCCATAAACGTTTATACGTGGTCTAAATGCATATGATTAGAATGTTTAGAGCTGGTATTTCCAAACAAATATTCAAATATTCTTTCTTAAAATCACCTAATAATACATACATACATACATACATCATCTAAACCGCTTATCCTTCTGGGTCGCGGTGGGGTGCTGGAGCCTATCCCAGCTGTCATTGGGTGGACACCCAATAACAATACAATAATATTTACATTTCATAATTAACCACATTTATAAGTGTTCGTTTATACTGCAGTTCCAGTAGACGGCAGTAGTAGATGTAGTAATATCTATGCTAAAGCTCAGCCGCTTCAAATAAGTGTTTGCAATCTGACAGATTCTCACAGACAATGTTCTCATTACGAGCCTCGCTGCTCAGTTCCACAACCACCCAACCCTCCTTCTTTAAAAAGGATGCCAACTACACCCTTCTCAGCCACCACAGCTGCATCGCTTGCGTAACACAACAGCACACCACTGTTAAAATAGAATAAACACGTTTTGCCTGCATTTATTAATGTGTTATAAAAATGTATAAGTGATTTAAATGCATGTGATACGAATGTTTAGAGTTGGGATGAAAAGCATCGTAGGAAAGCAGCTCAGGTTGGATTTGAAAAGATCAGATTTGCTATGACAAAATCAGATCCATTCACATTAATGCAAAAAAATCTGAATTGTTCTACTTCAGCCTGGTAATGTGAACATAGCAATATATGCACATAAATGTAGCTCAAACGCTTCACAAATGATGTGCAGATAAAACAAGCATTAATGTGTCGGGTATAATATCCGCCACTAGAGGTCAGCCTCACTTGAGTTTTTGAACTGTTTCTAGTAAAGTTTTGATTTCATTCATCTGCAGCTCATCTACCTCCCTTTATCAGGACCCAAACAAACACAGGCTTTCTGCAAAACATTGCCAGTTTGTCGTGTTCTGAGTCTTGTATCTCTACATTTACTGGATTTATGGTTTTTTGGACATTCATCTGGACTCTTGGACTTTGCCTTCTGGACTCTTGTTGGTACTCTTGCTGTGTTTTGTGAGCTGTCTTGGTTTTTGACTATTTCAGGGCTGTTTTCTGACTTCTGGTTTTGTGTTTTTTGGATAAACGGGGAAATGGATCCAAACATGTCTGGAGAGCCTTCATTACAGAATGATTTACCCTGTTGTTTTCAAACAGCTCCAGGATGAACGTGATTGCACTGCTGTTGATGCCAATGAACAGGTTGATGCAGGACAGGGAGACGTATGCAGTGCTGGGGATGCTGAAGATGTAGGACATGGGGTACATCATAGGGGTGACGGACCACCTACAAATCATACAAACACACAAATAACCACAAATAACGCAGCCAGTTTTTTCTCATCAGATTCAAATGTGTGAAAATATTACCCATCACTGACTCACCCGTATAAACAGAGCAGAGCCACTAGAGCTGGGAGGTTAGTCGGGGACGTGTAGCATTTCTTGTCAAAGCCAACAAAGATGCCCACAACCATAGCAGTGCTGATGGAGTAATTCAACTAAGGAATGGAGGAATAAAATGGTAAAAACATTCATCTGAAAATGGACACAGACGCTTTAGTAACACTTTCTCTCCTGACAATTTCATCACCACTGTAATTTATCAGAGCATCAGTACTTCACGGCTCCTCAAGAGGGCGCTAATCAAACTGTGATGCCAACTTGCCAAGAAAATAAGTAAATGGGAAAATAAACAAGCAGTGGAGAGGATAGGTCGAGAAGAAAAGTTCATTAAAGAAGAAGCATCATTTTTCAGATCAAAAGTCTGGGCTCTGTTTAGGTTTTCCAGCCCTGATGGGACAAACAAACTCAATAAAACACAATCTGCAAGAATAAAGTCATGAATATATGAGGGCAATATGGTAAGCATGCAGTCATTATTCTTATCCTGTGGAGAAACTAAAGGTGGGCGATACGGCAAAAATATATGCTGTGATACTTGAAATTTTCATGATAAACGATATGTAAGAATATTTATTTTTTCTAATTTTTATCTGATTGTTTGGAACAGGAAAAAGAGCCAGTAGTGCTACATTTTAAGAAATACTATCAATTTTTCAATTTTATCATTTTTATTCAGTATTTGTCACTAAATCCAATAAACTGACTAATTTAGCTCTCTTTATAATGAGTCATGCAGTTGCTCAGTGTCTACAAGCGCTGACGATAAACAGAATATGATCGGAAAACTGGACTGTGACCTAATTTATCACGATAATGATATATATTGTCATACTGCCCAGCCCTAAGAGAGACCAGCTAATGCCACAGCTGTTAGTCTGCGTACACTGGATCAGTAGTGGAACAAAAATCGATGCAACAATATATCATATCACAGAATCGCCTGTACAGCGATGCCATCGATACTGTGAGAAACATATTGTGACCATATCATGTCGCGAGATCGTCTGTAATTCCCACCCTTAGCCAATCATTCGGTCACTAACCATGTCCCAGAAGAAATTGGCCACCCAGTAGACCAGCGGGCTGACCCCACTGACGAACTGCAGGTGTTTGGCCTTCGTGACGCGCTCCTGGATGAGGTAGAGGACGAAGCTGGCTGGGATGAAGGACATGGCGAAGATTACACAGATGGCCACCACTGCGTCCACAGATGTGGTCAATCTGTGGATAATGCAGAGTGGAGTCAAAAGACGGCTTTCACTCTATGTGGTCAATTCCAAACAATGCCTTAACTCAGCTTCCTTAATTATAACAAAATAATAAGGTTCCAGAATCTCATGTGCAGCACTCAGACTCTGGTGGACAGGAGGGACGGTCATTAAAGCAATAACAAAGGCAGAAGTGGAGCTCTGTGAAGTGGAGGTCAACATACTGTTTAGGGAATCTTAATGCTTCGGCACCGAGACATTTTGGACAATTGTACACTTCCAACTTTGTGGGAACAGTTTGGGGAAGAACCTGTTCTGTTCCAGCATGACTGAGCCCCAGTGCACAAAGCAGCTCCATAAAGGCCTGACTGGGTGAGTTTGGTGTGGAAAAACTTGACTGGCCCTCACAGAGTCCAACATCAGTGTCTGACCTCACTAATGCTCTTCTGGATGAATGGACACAAATTCCCACAGACTCTCTCCAAAATCTTGTAGAAGCTTCCCAGAAGAGTGGAAGCTGTTAGAGCTGCAAAGGGGGACCAGATCCATATTAATGCCTATGGATTTAGAATGGGATTCATAAAAGCTCCTGTGGGTGTCCCAATACTTTTGTCCATACAGTGTATTTTAATGATATTTATGCATCCCTAGTGTCCTTTGTTGAGTTTGCTGAAATGCCGTTATATATTTACTATATATTTACTGTTAAAAACGCCCATCCCCGTGTTAGAAACAGCCCAGACACTCACACAGTGACCTCAGAGAGCTGCTCTTTGGTGAGGTTGAGCGGGTGATTGATGGCGGTGATGCCGTATTCAGACGGGTTGGCGTGATGTGGAAGGTTGGCTCGAAGGATGGCGTTGTTCGCTATGTTCATGAAGGAGACCATGGCATGCCAGCCTTTATTGTTAAACCACACCTGCGATGTGAAAGAGAAGAGACACCAAGATCAGTCTGTGCTGTTTAACTCAGCACAGCTTAATGGAAAAACGTAAGAAGCGTCAAAAATGCCCTGAATACCTTGACATTATATTCACTCTCCATGTAGCGCAGGAAAGGTCCTAGTTCTCTGACTGCAAGCTTGGAGCGAGAGCCCTGAAGAGGAATTCAGCATTTACAATCAACGGCACAAACCCAAGGGCTTTGTAAAATAATAATAACTAATAATCATAAGTAAACTTCATTTACAGCTTGTTTCATCACTGAAATGTAGCTAAGATGATTTAGAGCAAATGAATAAAAGAGAATGACATGCAGTTAATAATCTGATAACTGCAGAAAATCAGATTGTGTCAGTAACTGGTTCAGTGTGTTTACACTTAGTAATCTGATAACTGTGGAAAATCAGATTGTGTCAGTAACTGGTTCAGTGTGTTTACACTTAGTAATCTGATAACTGCGAAAATCAGATTGTGTCAGTAGCTGGTTCAGTGTGTTTACACTTAGTAATCTGATAACTGTGGAAAATCAGATTGTGTCAGTAACTGGTTCAGTGTGTTTACACAGTAATCTGATAACTGTGGAAAATCAGATTGTGTCAGTAACTGGTTCAGTGTGTTTACACTTAGTAATCTGATAACTGTGGAAAATCAGATTGTGTCAGTACTGGTTCAGTGTGTTTACACTTAGTAATCTGATAACTGTGGAAAATCAGATTGTGTCAGTAACTGGTTCAGTGTGTTTACACAGTAATCTGATAACTGTGGAAAATCAGATTGTGTCAGTAACTGGTTCAGTGTGTTTACACTTAGTAATCTGATAACTGTGGAAAATCAGATTGTGTCAGTAACTGGTTCAGTGTGTTTACACTTAGTAATCTGATAACTGCGGAAAATCAGATTGTGTCAGTAACTGGTTCAGTGTGTTTACACAGTAATCTGATAACTGCAGAAAATCAGATTGTGTCAGTAACTGGTTCAGTGTGTTTACACTTAGTAATCTGATAACTGCAGAAAATCAGATTGTGTCAGTAACTGGTTCAGTGTGTTTACACTTAGTAATCTGATAACTGCAGAAAATCAGATTGTGTCAGTAGCTGGTTCAGTGTGTTTACACTTAGTAATCTGATAACTGTGGAAAATCAGATTGTGTCAGTAGCTGGTTCAGTGTGTTTACACTTAGTAATCTGATAACTGTGGAAAATCAGATTGTGTCAGTAACTGGTTCAGTGTGCTTACACAGTAATCTGATAACTGTGGAAAATCAGATTGTGTCAGTAACTGGTTCAGTGTGTTTACACTTAGTAATCTGATAACTGTGGAAAATCAGATTGTGTCAGTACCTGGTTCAGTGTGTTTACACTTAGTAATCTGATAACTGCGGAAAATCAGATTGTGTCAGTAACTGGTTCAGTGTGTTTACACTTAGTAATCTGATAACTGCAGAAAATCAGATTGTGTCAGTAACTGGTTCAGTGTGTTTACACTTAGTAATCTGATAACTGCAGAAAATCAGATTGTGTCAGTAGCTGGTTCAGTATGTTTACACTTAGTAATCTGATAACTGTGGAAAATCAGATTGTGTCAGTAGCTGGTTCAGTGTGTTTACACTTAGTAATCTGATAACTGCAGAAAATCAGATTGTGTCAGTAACTGGTTCAGTGTGTTTACACTTAGTAATCTGATAACTGCAGAAAATCAGATTGTGTCAGTAACTGGTTCGGACAAATCAGAGTGAGGGTTTACATGCACTGAAAAACCCCATTATTGAGCTCAAATCCAGCCTCTTTATCAGATTTATAGACCTTAATCTGATCTAAAAAACCAGAGTGTGTGTTTATACGACCACTTAATAATCAGATAACTGCAAAAATCTGATAATGCATGTAAACACACTCATAGAAATAAATTTTGCATTTTTCGACTTGTAATTAAAAGAATAGTAAAACATCCACCTTAATGAGGTTTGGGTGAAGTACAGACTTTAGCCTACCCCTGTGATGTTCATCATCTGCCCAATCTGAGACAGAACATTCTGGATTTGTTTAGGATCCACGTCCAGTATAGGCAGCTGCCCCCCCACAGAGAGCCCACCGTACCTGAAAGGAAAGTACTGTTGACTCAGACAAACTAAGCAACTCAAACGTTACATTATCACTGAAGTACCATCAGCTGTTCATTCTTAAAGACACAGAATCAATACCTCTGTTCATTCACCCAGTATTTGCTCTTCAAGCTGCGTAAAGAGACGTAATTAGTCATTTGCTGGATTTGGAAAGTGATGAGAAAATGAAATAAAGAAACTGGAACACTTCATTAAAGCCCACCTGGTCCTGATGAGACTGGGATACGTCTTTACCAGATAGTCGGAGATGTTTCTGTCCGTTAGGTCAAGCAAAATGTCCCCAGTTGCCTCTTTTCTCTGCATCACAGACAAAACAAAGAGTTTATTTACTGTTGCTGTTGTTGAAAAAAATTATTATGTGGTCCTAAAATCTTTTACGATCATTTGCTTGCATATACGCTGCTCATCAAAAGTTTTGGGACAGCTCACCTTCTTTTGAAATTGTATGAATGATGTTTGATTTCTCCTGTTAATTTTCAATAAAGTAAGAAATCTTGTGTTGGTTTAGTTTATCATAAGGCAGCTCTGAGTATGATTATCACCAGCACTCAGCTTCACGCTTTTCCACCGCATGGCTCAACGCAACTCATTTCTACACGCTTTTGGCACCAGCTACTGCAGATATAGCGGCCCCTCAATGTAGCTGGTCATCATAGCAACGCCTCATTAAACTGTGGAGATGTGCAGGAAACAAACGTTGTTCAGAAGAGGCAGCGAGACGAAAGACAGAAAAACTACATCAGAGCTCAGACGAGACGATTCTGGTGCTCAAAGGCGACACGAGGCTACGCTAACCTGGTAGCTAACTTTAGCATATGTGTTAAGCGATTCTCTCCGACCAATCAGCAGTCTGCAGCTTTTAGTCACCTTTTGGTATCAGCTCACTTGGAACCTTCACAGAGTTGATACCAAAATAGTACCAGGTACCAGGTTTGCCTTCTGGAGAATCAAAAAAGGCAAGTAGAGTGGAGTTGGGCCGGTACCACGTGGTGGAATAAACGCCATGTGGAGTGTTATGAGCTTTCCCGTTCATTTTCCAACAGCTGACCGTCTCCTCCTTTATAACGTATCTGGTATCTTCATGGTATGAAGAGCAGTTTGGCCTACGATGGTGATGATAATGGTGACAGTTTTCTTTTCCAACATTTTGAAACGTTAACGGTGCTTTTCCACTGTATAGTACCGGCTCGACTCGACTCGACTCTACTTGCCTTTTTTGGTTTGCCATTAAAGAAAAGTTGGTACCTGGTACTTTTTTGGTATCACCTCCGTCGAGGTTCCAAGTGAGCTGAGCCAATACCAAACAGTGACATTTGGTATCGGCTCAGCTCTTCTGACCAACATTTCTCTCCTACACATCACGACAGTTTCATCTGGCTTCGCTGTGATAACCAGCTACATTGAGGGGGCGCTATATCTGCAGTGGAAAACAAAGTAGCTGGTACCAAAAGAAAGTTGAGTCGAGCCGTACCATGCAGTGGAAAAGCGGCTCAAATGTCCCCAAACGTTTGATGGACAGTGTAGGCTGGTGCTGACCTGGCGTGGGGGCAGTCCCCCTGCTCCAATTGGACAGACCGGCAACATGATGAGCTTCTTTTCGGTGCTGCACTGGCAGGAAGGGGAGGGGTTCCTTTCTGTCCACTCAGGGCTCAGCAAGATGTTACTGACCACAGGAGACACCGGAGGATCTGCCCAGTCTGTTGTGATGTTGCTACACGGCAGATTCCTACACAGACCAAACACAGAGAAAAGACCAGTCACAGAGGAACTCCACCAGACAGCGCTAACACGGCTAACACGGCTAACATGGCTAACATGGCTAACACTACGCAGCATGATGTTTCTGATATTTCTAATTTCTGCCTCAGTTAAAAACGTGTCATATGAAGGACTCACTCTAACGGCTGGTCCACCATGCATCGAGTCCCCATGCCCGGCTCTCGGAGCATCATGTGGACGAAGTGGTTCATCTTTGGATGGTCCGGCCGCTCGTTGCTGGAAAGGATAAAGCAGATTGAGTGAACCTCACTGCAGCTCCGGTGAAGATTAGAGGCTGTCTGAGAAAAGCGCTGCTTACCTGATGAAGGTGAACTGCTGACCGTACATCCACGGGCTGAGGGTCAGACTCGGGTACTCTCCAAACGGAGGAACGATCAGGGTGAAGATCAGAGCTATCAACACAAAACTGGCCGGCAAAACAATCTACAAACACAGAACATGCGACACTGAGGGAGACGCTCATATCAGCTACCGCAGAAAACTCTCTTACTCTGGAGTCTCACGCATTTTACTGATTTTAGGCTCTTCAGTAAAGAAAATTCCATACAGAACCATGAACACTGAAAAGAACCAACTGCATGTTTAAATGGTTCTCTGCATGGTGAAATGTTTTTCAGATTGATGGAGAATGTATAGGTATAAGGGGGCATTAGTGCACATGGTATGGGTGACGTGCACATCTGTGAAGGCATCTTTAATGCTGAACGATAGATACATGTTTTGGCAACGTATGCTGCCATCCAGACGACGTCTTTTTCAGGGAAGGTCTTGATTATTTCAGCAAGACAATGTTAAACCACATTCTGCTGTTCGAGCTGTGTGTGATGTCCGCTGTGAGGCCGTACCTGAGCAAGGAAGTCCTTGTGGCTGCGTGTGGCGTGGTGAAACCTCTTCACCAGCAGGGCACGGAACTGCTTGAGGACCAGACTGAAGCCTTTCACCTGCCTGGAGGCTTTTCCTGCACTGCTGTCTGATTCCTCATGCTTTCCCACACCGTTCTCCTGCAAACCATTCGCTTCTGCAGCAAACAACAGGAGAACCTCTCAGGAACTTTACATCATTAAGGAGTTCAGGCAGAGTATGAGTGCATTTCTTCACTATCAGCTGTTCAGCATGGCCTGGATTAGCCTCTGAGCTCTAGCGTAAAGCATGGCACCTCAGACACTGGGAACAAACAGCCTGACTGCATCAGCCACTCATGAACGCTACACAAAGCAGAGCTCTTAGCCTTCTGTGTTCACCTTCAGGAGCCACAGCATTAGCATTAACATTGGGCTCCCTGCCATTTCTCCTCTGCTTCAGCATCCACTGCTCTGAGGGAGGCGATCAGATACGACACCAGTCAAACATCAGGAGAACAAGGAGAGAGATTCTACACTCACTGTCCACTTTATCAGCTCCACTGACCGCATAGCTTCACTATGTAGTTCTACAGTTACAGACTGTAGTCCATCTGTCTCTCTGCACCCTGTTCTTCAGTGGTCAGGACCCCCACGGACCCTCACAGAGCAGGTTTTATTTGGGTGGTGGGTCATTCTCAGCACTTCAGTAACACTGACGTGGTGGTGGTGTGTTAGTGTGTGTTGCGCTGGTGCGAGTGGATCAGACACAGCAGTGCTGCTGGAGTTTTTAAACACTGTGTCCACTCACTGTCCACTCTATTAGACACTCCTACCTTGTCGGTCCACCTTGTAGATGTAAAGTCAGAGATGATAGCTCATCTGCTGCTGCACAGTTTGTGTTGGTCATCCTCTAGTCTTTCATCAGTGGTCACAGGACACTGCTGGCTGGATGTTTTTGGTTCTCAGTCCAGCAGCGACACTGAGGTGTTTAGAAACTCCAGCAGCACTGCTGTGTCTGATCCACTCAGACCAGCGCAACACAATGCATACCTACACTCGTCTCAAAGCGTGTGGAGGTGTTCAGTATCTGTAGTATTCTTGATTATGTGGTTTCTGACATTATATGACTGACTCTTATCTATAAACACTGAAAGATAACAGTGTGCCATACAGGGTCAATGACATTTGGGGAGAACTATTAAGTGAACACTGTGACTGAAAACACTCCAGTCCTTTTAGACTAGCTCATATTGGCACTTGCCAGACTATACAAAGTCAGTGGTAAATATCTGTCCATAATGTACGAGAGTCCAATATATGGAATGTACTCAGGCCCGATTAGGCTAACAGCTAGCATGAACTCATCTGAAATCCTCCAACCTTGAAATACACACTGGTTTGCTGTTCACAAGCTACATGACTGAAAACATGCATGTTTAAATTGTTTGTATACAAGCTATGGAAAAAAGTAATCACAACATAGAGTATACATCTATAGATCTACAGAAATTAGGCTAATAGAAAGCAAAAGGAGCAGTAAAGAAATATGTACCTGGGTTGACGGCACCATTTGCTGCTTCTCCATCTGCAGTGACCTTCAGGAAGATCTGTGAAAGGACAGCATTTTGTCATCTGGTTTAAATTGAGCATTTAACTTGATCACAAGCAATAAAGACAATGTGTGTGACTGCAGCAGGGCTCATCACAGCACAAACAAATGAGCACTGCATTCAAAATCACTTTTTATAAATTGTTCTTAAAATCGGTCTTCACTGCCATGAGAATCTTTCCCACTTGTAAATTGCTCTTGAACAGCTGACAGCTGAATATTTCTTGTGGAGTCCCACAAGGTTCAGTTTTAGGGCCCTTGCTCTTCTCTTTTTACATGCTACCTCTAGGTGAAGTTATTAGGAAGCATAATATAAATTCTCACAGCTATGCTGACGACACCCATTTATACATTTCTACTCCTTCTGAAGATCAAGACTCTGCAGACGGACTAAACAGCTGTGTGTCAGATATTTCTCACAAAATTTCCTCACAATGAATTAATTTTTTTTCTATTAAAAAAAATCACGAAAAAAAGGGAAATGCTGATCATTGGCACTAAAACTCACAGAAAGCTTTGTGAGAATCTCGGCTCTTTAGCTTCATATAACCAAACCTGCAGTAGAAACCTGAGTGAGATCTTAGACTCTGAGCTCTGTTTAATCTGCATGTAAACAGTCACTAAAGCAGCTTTTTATCATGTGAGAAAATCACTAAAGTTCAGTCTTTTCTCTCTCAGAGCGACGCAGAGAAACTCGTAGCTGCGTTTGTTCAGCAGAGTTGATCACTGTAATGATCTTCTGACTGGAGAAACCAGCCCATCCTCTAGAACCCGTACAGAACACAGCAACACGGATCCACACAGCACCAACACAGAGAGCTCATATCACCCCATTACACACTGCACTGACCGCCTGGATCTGTTGGAGAGAGTTTAAAGCTCTGCTGCTGGTTTTAAAGCTCTAAATGGCCTTAAAGCTCCTGAATGTCTGTCTCAGATCTGCAGATTCGGACCTTCTGAACTCCTTCAGTAAAACACAGAAAACGTGGAGAGACTCTTTCAGTTATTCTGCTTCTAAACTGTGGAGCTCAGTTCAGCTTTTATTAGACAGTCGAGCTCAGAGCTCACTTTTAATAAACACCTGGAAACGCAGCTCACACTGGCAACACTAATGGGGGCTCGGACCTGGATTTTTCCTTAAAGCTGCTTTGTGTCAACGCCTGTTGTAAAAAGTGATGTGTAAACAAACTATGACTCGACTTGACTCAGCTTTCTCTTCTCCAGTAATCTCATTATCTCATTATCTACATAGCCTCTGCTCAGTGCTGTCCAGTTCTCTGGACTCACTCTGCCTTTCCCCTTCAAACAGTGGAAATCAAGGGTGTGCAAACTTATCCACAAAGGGCCCAGTGTGGCAGGTTTTCATTCCAACAAATCAAGAGCTCACCCAATCGGTTTGAAGACTGAGACCAGCTGATCAAACAAGTGGGGTCAGGTGAGCTCCTGCTTGTAGGGCTGTGACGATAACCACATAACCGCGTTACTGCGATCCTGCGCCATGTGATGCCTCCCGCAGGGTTGAGCTCATTACCCTCATCAACTACATTTTGTTTTATTTCATTTTTCTGCTGGTGAAAGTTACAGGAGTGCATGTGGTGTGATATGAAATATAAACACAATAATCATTCTTTAGTCATCATTGACTGTCTTCCATCCTGGTCATTTCAGCTTTGTGCACAAAGGTCCATTAAACATATGGGGGTTTCTTTTTTGTGTGTCTTATTATTACTTATTTCTCGGACTGAGAGCTTATAATATGTACAGATAACGTTCAGTTGATAGTATTCAGATGACGTCACAATCACAAAATATGGCAGCAACATCATCAGCAGTGGCTGGTTTATTTTTAAATCTAATTTTTAAAGCAATTTAACTGATATATTTGAGTGTATTTACTTGAATTTATTTGATTTGTTGCTGTAATGATAACAAATAAGAGCTGTAATCTAAACAGCTTCACACATTTTTCAAATTTCCTGCATAATCAGTGGTTGCAATTTCTACAACAAATTATCCAAAACCACCAGTGAACCTACACGAGTCTTCTGAGTTTATATGGAATGTTGATGATGGAAAATAGTGGAAAATCTGAAATAATAAGTTTTCTTTGGGGACTATTTTGCCTCACAGTGCTCTGCATATCATGTATCCCTCCACCATGAATGGAGTTTAAGTTCTCTAAACTATCATAAAACAGTGTCTCAGTCATCAGGCAGTGAATTCATAACCATTTCATGTAGGAACTTTCTGTGAGGGAGCTTTTAGAGGTGGACGTCTGGTTCCTATCACCACCACTGTGAACAGTTCTGACTCTCTAGAACGGAGCATTTCAGCTTAACTCCGAATGACTTTTGTTTACATCTTAACAATTTAATTACGCTGAACTTTTGGAAAATTGGTGCAATTCACCTCAGCCCTCTCCAACATCATCAGCTACTGCAGATGACTTCACAGTATGCTTCAAACAGAAGGTCACGTCTTTCCTCCGCCGAGGCGGCGTTCCTCACACAAACCTGACTCTTTAAATCATTCCACAACGATGAAGTGATGGAACTTTTAAGTACAAACCGACCCAGAGCCGACCCGATTCTAACCACACTCCTTCAAACAATCTCCACCGCCTCCTTTCCTGACCACAGTGATCAATTAATCACAGCAAATGATCCGGTTCCTTCCATCTTCAAAACAGCTTGAGTTACAGCACAACTCCAGAAACACACTCTCCATCCAACACATGCTGCCAGCTTCACTCCCTCAGTCTCTGTCCAGCAGTGAGGAACTGGCTGTCCTCACTGCAAAAATCATCTCTTGGCAAGAGAAATGATCTTAAATCTAGTCAATATATCTAATATTCTTTTTGTTGAGATTGGTAGAAGCTTATTAAAAGATTATTTAACTTCTCTTTTTTTACGTTTTGAGTAAGTTTATTAAGTAAAATCCTCACTATTTTGCTTATTTTAAGAAAATGTGCTTAAAACAAGAAACAGCAAAATGATCTGCCAGTACAGTGAGAAAACCTTTACTCAATAAAATGACTTTGAACAAATGAAAAACATCTAGAAATAAGTTGAACAGTCATAATATCTGTACATCTCAGAATGAGAAATATTAGACACTTAGACCAGATTTAAGATGATTTCTCCTGTTCATTTTTTTTACAGTGCCGCCTCAGCTATTCTCCATCTTAAAGAACAACCTCCTTGAGGTTCTCCTGGACGTCGGAGAGTCCAGATGCAAGCCTGGACACAGTCGTTCTCCACAGAACCAGGAAGAACTGTCCTCAGTCCTCATCCTCCTTCACTGCCATTGACACGAAACCAACAGGTGCTTATTAACCCTCTAAGGTACATAATGATGCCAGTGGGTAAAAAAATGTTTGTAATTTTTTTTGTCATAAAATAGATAAACATTATTTATCCTCTGTGGTTCTGAGGTCATTCTTTCTCAATGTGTTCATCACTTCTTAAACTCTCCTCTAAAGGCTCTTCATATATCATGATCCTCATATGTTTCATATCTAAATGCTCCGTTATCTTCATCACTACTTTCTAAAACCGCTGCAGCAGCTTCAGCAGCTGTAAACTCTCTGCACGCCGTTTCACATGAGTCTCCGATGTGGACTGAATGAAGAATGAAGGGTTTCCGGCGTGATGGTCAGTGCTTGGTGATTTCTTGAGTGTCCATTGGTCAGTTTCACACAGAATGTAGACGGACACACCAATCCACCAGCTCCACACGGTGAGAGGCAGATGAGCACTTTGCACAGGACTGTGGATGTAAGTGTTGAGTTTTAATATGTTGAGACTTAGGGATGCTCCTATATATACTTTTTAGTAGTTTCTTGGGCATAACATGCATACATACATACATATGTCATCTAAACCGCTTATCCTTCTGGGTTGCGGTGGGGTGCTGGAGCCTATCCCAGCTGTCATTGGGCGGAAGGCAGGATACACCCTGGACAGGTCGCCAGTCCATCGCAGGGCAGACAGACAGACATACACAGTCACACTCACACCTAGGGGCAATTCAGCCTGTCCAATCAGCCTGACTGCATGTTTTTGGACTGTGGGAGGAAACCGGAGTACCCGGAGGAAACCCACACAGACACGGGGAGAACAGGCAAACTCCACACAGAAATGACCCTGGTCACCCGGCCGGGCATCAACTGGGCATAACAGTGATTTATAAAATATTTGTCAGGACTTTGTAGAATGTTTACATGAACAAAAAGACACAACACACTAAAGGAAAGAGAAAAACTGGTAAAGCATAATCTTTAAGGGAATGCGGCACCCTTGGTTTTAGCACAGTAAGGCCCGATTTCCTCATACTGCGCCTGCGTGGTGTGAGCGACGCGGACAGTCTTGTTTTTTATATTTCGCTGTCCATGTTAACTGATCAGCGCTTTCACACAGGCTGTCCTTCCGAAACAGCAGAGCATCCCAGATGGTATTTAGAGAATAGACCCGGTGCCGATTTTTTCCACGCACTATGCGTGTCATGCAGCAAAATACACTGAAATAAGCCATGAAAATCCATGAATATTAAACAGAAGACCATATAAAAATTTCATTTCACTTATGATAAAATACTAGTTAAATATTCCGTGCTGCAAACAGATTTCCCAGTTGGTCTACCTTAAAGGCTTGAAACATTTGTGTAATCAGAAGTCAGAATGCTGTTGAGGATAAATAAACATATCGCGCACTTTTATACATTACATTTTTGTTGAGCAGAGTATCTGACATGACCAGGAATGTCTGTATAACGTCCTCGATACTCCGCAGCTCTAACACTGTATGTATGAAAGGCCAGTGCATTCGAGCTGTAGCGGTCATGCTGCCGCATCACTCACGCCACGCAGACGCAGTATGTGTGAATCAGGTCTAACACAGTAAAGAGTCGAGAGATCCTCTCTTCATAATCATAGTTGATAAAAGCTGAATAAAACTGTTCTAAAAGAGGAGATTAGAGATGTACCTCCTCCAGTGAGGTGTCTGAAATGCCGAAGCTGCTGAGGCCAATGTCCCCCAGCGTTTCCTCCAGCTCTCTGAACAGACTGGCATAGGAGCGGTACTTGAAGCCCTTATTGGGCAGCAGGTAGGTCATCTCCTGACCGATCATCTCTATCAGCTTAGCCTCAGGGACGTGGTGATGGATCAGACTGGTGATGCTTTCCACATCGCCTGAGGAGAGAAGAGAGCAAGCAGAAACATTTGTTAAATGTTGGATAATTTAAGATGACTAAGGTCATTTGAGTCCAGATTTTGCACTAACCGTCCAGCGCTCTCTCGAAGTACTGTCCCTGACATTCCTCCTTGTACTTGGTGCAGGTGGAGCATGTGCAGGAGCACTCTGAGGCGCAGTCGCACTCGTTCTGCAAAGTCAACAACTGGGGGTCAGTGTCATATTATGGCCTGGCAGTTCCACCACTCACCACCAGAGGTCACTTTCCCCCCAGTACTCAGCCCTATCTCAGCTGGAGCACTCGCAGCCCTGCAGTCCTCGTTAGTGTGCAGGTGAGGACAGCGAGGCCAAAGGGCTGAGGTACTCAACTCCAGACCTCGAGTCCAATTTACAGTCCAGAGGCCAGATTCACAAAAGCTTTCTTAAGAAAAAACTTGTGAAGGTTCTTAAGACAAACACTAAGAAGTTCATTAGAATGTGTTTAAATGCGATTCTCAAAAAAACCTAAGAAGTTCTCAAATATTCTCTTAAAATAATCTGAATTATTTCTTTAAGATTTTCTTAAGAATATCTTCACTGTTTGCTCAAGTAGGCTGTGCTGTATTTTACACCATACCATAAATGCTGCGAGATTCATTTTGAATTTTATTAACTGTTATTTACATCTTTTAGTTTTATCCATTTAGAAGAGCAAAATGGAAGGAAAACATCAAACCAAGCATTTAAAAAATAATCAGCAAACAAAAACTAGAGGTGATGGTGGAATAAACAGCCAACAGGAACAAAATCCTCATTGGAAAATATGATAATTGTGGGGTGACGGACGAGGATGAGGAGCAGCAGAGGCAGCATCTGAGATCAATTTAGACACTGACCTCATCAACTTTCACAGACTAAGACAAGTGAGAGGCTGTCATAAGATTAAGAAAACATTTAAGAACAACATATTTTCAAGAATATCACTTATTCTTAGAATTATTCTAAAGAAAATAGTTAAAAAAAGAAATTATACGACAGTTAGTTCCGGCCATGCAAGCTGATTGGTTGAGCAGCGTTCTAACTGTGCTGTTATTTCACCATAACATCACATTTTTTTTACAAACACTGTATCACTCCACTGAGACGCCGTTGCTAAGCAACGACTTTGACAGCCGTAGGAGACGCTCAAGACATTTGAACGTTTTTACTTCTTACTTTGCCACAAACAGAAAACGGACACTTTTAAGATCATGTTTGACCGACAGCCGATTTGGTCAGACTCTGAAGATGAGACGACACTAAATTCCCAAACTGTCGTCACCACTGAGCAGCTTTTCAGTCGGCAGCTGAGACAGAAGAACAGCTGAACAACCTGGAATCAGCCAGAAATGAACCCAACACCATTCGCCAAACTAAACGGGCTGTAAGATGTTTTACAGACTGGCTGGAACAAAACAACATTAATACTGATCTGGCAAAAACTGACAAAACTGAGCTGAACTTGATATTGCGGCAGTTTTATGGTTCAGTCTGTACTTCAAAAGGCGGGGCTTACAGCAGACTGTGCAGCGAGTGGGCGGAGCTCATTCGCTGACGTAGCAACAAGCTGCTCGTTAAGGAACTATAATTTGGTGAAGGAACTGCGAACATTAAAACACATTAAACGCCGCGTTCACGGCCCAGTTTATTAATTTATTACTTTATTTATTTAACTGCTGTATAAAAGCAGTAGAACACTGGAGGAGTGTGTTATCGCCAATAACATAGAAATGTTCTATCTTGTTGTCCTTAGTTCAGATCTGACGGGTCAAGAAAAGATTTTTCACTAATTTGCGTAACGGAAGCAAATCTGATCGTAATTTAGGAAATTTATCTTATCTTCCAGCATCTTTTCTCCAGTTAGGAAATCTTAACCTACTCGATCAAAGTCGACAATCAGCAACCGACCATAAACACACACAGCTGAAACGTAAACACGTAATCAAAATAATGATAAACAGTTAATGTAGTAAAAATGTAAGTAAATGTTCTTTTTTATTTTTGCTTTTGTAATTCTGTATTTCGATATTTGCTTAAAGAAGAGGTCAGTTAGATTTCTGTTTACACAAACAAAAAATGTCTGTACTTGCGTCATGTCCAGTCAGAGGCGAACAATTTTAATAACATTTTATCACTTCTCATATCGTCATCTTAACATCCGACAGTTTCATCCAACTTTGCATGTTTTGTCAGTATCGTACAGCCCTGTCTGGGGACTTGGGCACCATCTGGGACAGGCCACTAGTTTGTCTCTCTACTCAGTAACTGACCTCTTTCTTGCGCAGATCCTTGATGCGGCGCACCAACGTGAGGTAGAACCCAACGCCAAAGCAGTTCTTCAGGAACAGAGGGGAGCCGCAGCAGTGGAGCTGACCTTTAGAGATGATGGCCACCCGGTCACTCAGCAGGTCAGCTTCATCCATGTGGTGGGTGGACAGGATGACGGTTCGCCCTGAGATACATCAGGTACAGCAACCAGCATGTTAACTGACATATAGTTAGTGACTGTGTTGCAAAGCAGTCGGCAGCACTGCTGTTATCAGACAGTTATTCTTCTACCTGGTTCATATTTTTTGTCCACTAACTCATCCTGCAGTTTTCGAGATACTGACACTGTTCCAACTCCGGAATGTTCAGCCTTATCAGGAATGGTGGTTATATACAGCTTTTCAATCATTAAATGAGGATTTTTTTCCCATAGAAATGAATGGGGTGAAGTTGCTGCACCCAATTTATGTCATGTTGATAGAAGTCCATTAGTAACACCCTATTAACCATGTGGGCAACCATAAGAACCACTTAGCATCACCCTAGCAACCACCTGGGATACCATAGCAACCACCTAGCCACACCCTCACAACCACCTAGCAACACTCTAGCAACCATCTAGCAACACCCTAGCAACTACCTTATCAACACATTTGCAACCATCAAAAATATCATAGTAATCATTTGGTAACACCAAGGATACCACAGCAACCACCTAGCAATTACCTAGCAACACCCTAGTAACCACCTGGGATACCATAGCAACCACTAACCAGTCAGAAACACCCTAGCAACCACCTGGGAAACCATAGCAACCACCTACCAACCACCTCACAACCACCTGCGATACCATATCAACCACCTCGCAATACCCTAGCAACCACCTAGCAACATACTAGCAACCACTTGGGACACCATAGCAACTACTTATCAGCAGCTTTGCTTAAAATCATCAGTTTTAAAATGCCATAGCAACTGTTCAGCAACACCCTAGCAACCACATGGGATACCATAGCAACCACCTAGCAACACTCTAGCAACCATCTAGCAACACCCTAGCAACCACCTAGGAAACCATAGAAACCACTTATCAACACTTTTGCAACCACCTGAAATACCACAGCGACCATGTGGCAATACTATAGCAACCACTAACCGTTTGGCAACACCCTAGCAACCACCTGGGAACTGCTTAAGCTGCGCAGTCAGACTGCATTTTCCTCAGGAAGTGCACTGTTTTAGTTTTAAACAATCCTCCAATCCTGTATAAGAATGTTTAACCTCGTTAATGCAGCACCTTCACACATTACAGTGCAGCCCAAAGTGCTTTACAGTGACGAAGGCAAATAAGGAGAGAAGAAACAGGAGACAGAGGAGATAAAACACTGAGAAAAGGAAGGAAATAAAAAATGTAAAACAAATTCTAAAAATAATACTCCAAAATAAAATAGTAATTAAATAAATAGATAAAAACAAAAATAAAATAGTGAAATGGGACAACAGTAAACTGTAGCACACAATAAAAATATTGAAGAATTAAAAGTCCTTTAGCATATTAAATAAGAAAATTCCCTGACCAGCTGATACAACTTACTGAGGCGTCCATTTTGACAGCGGCTCCAGGAGAAACTTTAACGGCCAGAACTGAGTGTTTGTGGATTTATGAGGCTTTTACTGTGGGTCTATGAGGTTTTCTAATGCTGCAGAGTTTTACCTGTGCGGTATTTGAGGAGCAGGTCCCAGATGGAGCGTCTGGAATACGGGTCCACTCCGGAGGTTGGCTCGTCCAGAATCACCACCTTAGATCCCCCAACAAACGCCATGGCAACAGACAACTTCCTCTGCATTCCCCCTAAACACAGAAAGAAACCGGCTGCCTTGTAAACTAATGTTTCTGCACGGCTGACGCTATTCTGTGATTTCACTCAAGAACAGCCAAAAGATCATTAATTAAGTTTGAGTGACCCTTATTAGTCCCACAACGGGGAAAATTTCACCTCTGCATTTAACCCAACACACATATATTGTCAAATATTGTCAATATTGTCAAATAAAGTATCATTTCCCTGAAACTCTATTATCGCATGAACTACACTCTTAATAAGATGGTTCCTTGTAGAGGGGGCGGGGCAAACAACTCTCTCCAATTTTCTGAATTTGGGCTGCAGAGCCCCTTTTAAACGTTTGCTGTCAGTATTACATATTTCTCCTTTAAGTAACGTTGTGCCAATGTAGTGTCAGCAATTCTGAGCTGCACATCTGTTTATTTTATCAGTTATGGTTGGAATTAACCTTTGCATGCCTTTGGTTTTTGCTTTGTTTCTGACCGTTTGACTTTGTGAATTATAGCAGATATATCATATCCATGTAGTACATAATGACCACCTGGTGGGCTACACTGGGCTTAACCTTTAGATTACTTAATTTGGCCCTCACTCTGCTTGATTCCAGTCAAGCAGCTTTCCTGGCTTTTACTGGCTCTTCCTCAAACACTGATCTACAGGCTGATCCTTAATCTGGACAGATTATCTTGCCGTGTTTGTGTTCGGACCCACCAGAAAGGTTCTGTGCCTCATCATCTCTCTTGTTGGGTAAGCCCAGGTCCTCCAGCATGTCCTCCACTTCCTGTTCAGCTTCCTTTTGCTCTCGACCCTTCAGCAGCGAGTAGAAGAGGATGTGCTCCTCCACGGTCAGACTGGAGGGGCAGGAGGGGTACATACAGAACAGAATACACACAGGCAATATTCTGATCAATATGATGGCCACTCTCAACAAGAGACATTCAAATTACAAGCAAAATTAATCTTATTTCAACCTTATTTTCAAGATCACCAACCAGGCACATGGTAAGGACCCCAGTCACTATGAGGCCCCCACCAGATTTACAACAAACCAGCCAGTATGATCCATTTTCATACACAAAGTTTTATACTTTATCATTAGAAAAATATAATCAATATTGTCAAATAAAGTATCATTTCCCTGTATCTCTATTATCACATGAACTACACTCTTAAAAAGATGGTTCCTCATAAAGACAATGGTTCTACATAGAGCCATGAACACTCAAAGAAACCTCTGCATGCTTAAATGGTTCTCTGAATGGTGAAATGGTTCTATAGATTGACGGAGAATGTGTTGTGTATGGCTCTGTATAGCACCAAAAAGGGTTATTTTATTATATACAAGCTTGGCATCATAACCAAAACAGAACCCTTTTCAGGTTCCATATACAACCATATACAACACATTTTCCATCAATCTGAAGAACCATTTCACCAAGCAAAGAACCCAGAAAGCCGCAGCTCCCCCATTTACTTGTATTTGTTTACAGGCTCGTCTTGCCCAGACCGATATGGTGGCCATACTGATGTGTCACAATTATGGGCCAACACGGCATCTATGTGTATATGTCTATGACTTAAGGCTCGTTTAGGCTCAGCGTTAAATACGGGTACGGGTGGAGCTTCTGTCTGTACTCTGCAATCATTTTATCCATATTTGTGCATGTTCTCTAAAAGCTTACAGATACAGATGAAATGGAGAAGTACCACCGGAAGCCATGTGGGGGCAGTGTAGCCAAGTGAAAAGAATTCTGGTGACATAGTGTAAAGAATTCTCCATCCACATGTCACAAAGTATTTAACGGCTTCACAGACACCACAGTCTACAGCGCTGCCTCTTTTGTAGTTGGTACATTATTGTGACCTCCTCCACTGGACTGCCCTCTAGTGGACATACTGCTTATGTGGGCAAAGATGGTTACATCATTTGAAACGGATCTGTCTAATAATATGCATGTCTTGTAGGATTTGAAATGATGTATTAATTAAACAGCAAAGGGTGACTCACTGGTTGAACAGGATGTTGTACTGGGGGCACATGCCCAGAGACTGCCGTATAGCATCCATATCCGTCCGAATGTCTTTTCCCATTGACGTAAGCCGTTCCTGATGTTGGTGGAAACAAGCCAGTAAGGATGGACCTAACAGAGCAGGAAACTGGTATGAGAAACCCCTGGAAAAGAACCTTTCCTAGCTTGTTAGCAGGATAAATTAGCAGTAAATGAACATGCATAAGTGTATGCACAAAAAGTGTGAAGGGCTTACAGTGTGGTCGTCTTTCCTGCTCCGTTGTGGCCGAGGAAAGATGTGATTTGGCCTTCATAGAAGGTGATGTTGAGGCAGTTCACAGCTGGCTTTGCGCTTCCAGGATAAACCTTTACAAGATCCTTCACCGACACTCCCACCAACAGCCCCTCTGGCTCAGGCTCGAAGAACAGATTTCCTGCGGAAGCAAGAGGTTTTACTGCATCACTCATTTCACTGTGGTGGCAAATCAGAACACATTCATATACAGTGTATTAGTAGAGCGCGGTATGGGCAAAAACCTTTATCATACACTAAAAAGGTTCTCTATAGAACCATCTACAGCTCATTCTCCATCAATCTGAAGATGACTTACTACTTACCCTGACATCCACCAGCTTCTCATTTGAATTTTCCCATTCCGCCTGAAAAGGTGCTGCAGTTACATTCTGGTGCCATAATGACAATAACTGCTGCACCATTTAAGGTGGAATGGGAAAATTTGAACGGCAAGCAGGCGAATAAGAAGCTCACTTCAGCTGCGTAGTTTTAATGCTGGTAGTATTTTTTTGATAAGGTGATTCAAGCTATCAAAAAATAGAGGCTTTACTATACACAGAGGTTTCATGTGTGAACATTTTGACAAAGAACCACTATTCATCTGAACACCATCTCATCTCCATGCTAGGCTAATGGCAAACAGCTAACCCCAATAGATTGGCTTTCCCTTCCACTCTCTTTTCCCCTGTTAACTCCTTAACTCATTACAACAGAGGTCAGTAATATTTGGACTGCGGTTCGAGTCTGGACCCAGACGCTGTCCTATGCGGACCTGGATCTATAACCGATAAACTATGGAGAATTATTTAATTTCGACAGGGTGGTCCTATTGTAATCAGCGTAACATTTCTAGTCATTACAGTACAGGTTTAGCGGCCCGTGAAAGTCACAGACCAATCGCATGCGTTGTAAATGTCCAATCAAACTTGCTGCCTGTCTGCAGTCACTTTGAAACCAATCAAAGTCTGCTTAAGTGATGGTCTACAATATTATCTCTGATATGTGAGGTTAATCATCATCATCATCATCATCTTAAGTCTATTAATCCAGATCGGGTCACAGTAGCAGTTGGAAGAGCAGAGAATCCCAGGTGCCCCTGATGACCAACCTCCTCCAACTCATTCCGGGGGGACCCTGAGATGCTCCCAGGCCAACTTGGAGAAATAATCCCTCCGGCGGGTCCTGGGACGACCTCGGGGTCTCGTCCCAGTAGGCTGCACTTGGTAAACCCCCACCGGGAGGCGTCCAGGGAGCATCCTGATCAGATGTCCGAACCACCTCAACTAGCTCCTCTCAGTGTGGAGGAGTAGCGGCTCTACTCTGAGCTCCTCCTGGATGACCAAGCTCCTCACCCTGTCAGGTAGAGTGTAGCCCACCACCTTGTGAAGAGGCTCATTTCTGCTTGTATCTGTGATCTCATTTTTTCAGTCATTATCCAAAGCTCATGACCACAGGTGAGGGTCAGGATGTAGACTGACTGGTAAACAGAGCTTTGCCTTATGGCTCAGCTCCCTCTTCACCACTACAGTCTGCATTACTGCTGCCTGTCCCAGCCTGCGGCCGATCCCACCATCCCTCTTTCCATCACTCGTCAACAAGACCCTGAGATACTTAAACTTCTTCACCTGGGGAAGGTCCTCTCCCCTCACCTGGAGTGGGCATACCACTGCAGCAGAGACTGCCAGTTTAATGGGAATCAGAATTTTCACATTTGTTTTTACAAAGAAAGTTTTGCTTTTTTAAACGTTTAGCTTGTAGCGTATGTTGTAAATACATCTACAGCAAAGACATTTTGTCTAAGAGAATTTGTCTACTTTTGGCTACCACCCTCGGCCCCTCTTACAGGCACTGTGTCCGTTCAGCTTCAGATCAGTGCTCTTTTTGCTCTACTCGTTTCTCCCTCACCTGTCAGCTCTGCCATTTCTTCATCCGGGGGAGGAGCATCTCCCTCTCTCTTCAGCTGCTCCTCTTTCTCTCTCTCCAGCCTCTGGCGTCTGTCCTGGTGCTTGCACTGTTTGCGGGAGCCGTTACAGTCAGGCTCCACCGCAGGGCTTTCTCTGTCCTCCTTCTGCTCTACCTTCTCCACGTTCTCCACATTCGCCGCTGGAGGCTTCTCAGGAGCTGCAGAGGGAAATGGAGATGGGTCTGAACATTTCCCCCCTACCCCAAGTGCAATCAAGGCTAAGGTACCTAACAACTGAACAACTCTACACAACTCTATGGCAAGCAAGTGGTGATTTAAGTCTGCATTTAGCACCATGATAATTAGTGTATATAAGCTTAATTGACTATCTCTAATAGACTTGATTATGAGGTTTCTAACACTGTATAATTCACTGTTGTCTATAAACGTGGATTAAAGTGTGTTGTGTAGTTAAAAACAGCAGCAGGCGTCTGGAGGCCTGAATTCTGTCCGTAGTTTTGTCCGTTTTTGTAGATAAAGAGGTTTGGCCAAAAAACTAGTGATGTCTGAATACTGAGTACACTGTCCTAAATGTATTTAGTAATGTATTCCATTACAATACATAAAAAAGTAACATATTCAGAATCCATTTAGAGTACATATTGATAAGGCACATGGGGAAAACTGTTACTGGTGGCATTTTCCTTCATGTAATTCTTCTGTTAATATGTTGAATGAAAAATTCATTTATTTAATTGGAGTTACAGAATTCTTAACATTATTTTGGCCGATCACATTGATTTATCAGTCCACTCAGGCTTTAGCAGAGCTCAGTAACGCTGAGATTAATAACTGATCACATTGATTTATCAGTCTACTCAGGCTTTAGCAGGAACTTCAGTGTTTGTAAAGAAAGCTGTTTTTTGAGTCGTCTGTAGACTGTTACTATGCGCTGATGGTGTTTCTTTTTAAGATTGTTTTTTTAGTGTGTAAGTATTCTAAAAGTATTCTTTTAAAAATGTAATAAAATCACTGTATTCTGAATACTGCCGAATACTGAACATGTAACTCGGACTGAATACAGATACTTAATTTCTGTATTCTGAATAAGTATTCCCAATACTTGTATTCTGTTACATCCCAACCCCGTAAATAACAGTGTGTCACACAGTGTCAGACACCCCATTAGCAGGTGGTTACACAGGTAAAAACATCATCACTTTAACGATATTGTAGTACCTGGATCAGCCATGTCTGAGTGGGGGCGCTCTGGGCTCTGCCAGTAGGACGGCTGGAGAGGGAAGTAGAACGGACGACCAATCCCATACTGGCCTGCAAAAATGCACAAGGTAGTTCTACATAAATTAACCAACCATACAGTCAAACTCCACATAAAAACTCACTGTAAGCTCCAAAACATAAGAGCATTAAGTGGTGAACTTGTTCTCATCAGACTTTGCAGTAATAAGACAGAAAAGACTCAATATGCAGTGAGTGTTCTGAGGATCCAGATACTGACCTGGGAAAACATTATCTAGATACCAGGCTAGAACAGCATAGAGAAACGAGTCGAAGAGCATCATGCGGATGGAGTTGAGGAAAGAGTACTCGTCGCCCTCTAGTGGGCTGGTGCCGATGTTGTCCCACTGCAGCCCCAGGCCCTGCTCCTCATAGCGGGACAGGTACTCCGTCCCAAAGCCAAACGCCACTGGAGACAGCAAGCTCTGAAAGAGAACCGGGATTAAATAGTTAGATGGGAGGGGGTTAAAGCAGCACTATATAAGATTTTTTTGTTAACACTGAAAGAAGTAGCACTGCTGAGTATGGAGAAAAAATAACACTAAAATATGCTGAGCGTGTCCTGCTGTGAGTCACCCTGTAAAGCCTGAAAATAATCATTTAAAAGTCAGAGGCGTCGAGTTTTTCACACCACGTCGTACGTCTTTACTTATTAACGTCACACACAGACTCTAAAAGGAGGTCCGGCTCGATGTTTCGGCCTCAAATGATCTCAGAATCAACATCACACTGATGAAGATGTGATGACTATAGTAGATAATTCTCTCACATCCTCAGAGACGCTCCTTCACCGAGTCTAGACTGAGTTCTCTTTGGATTCTCTTTCAACTCACTCGCATAAGTCAGATTCATCCACTTACTGGTCCAAAGCAGAACCAATGTTACAAAATGTTCTTCCACAAGTTGGGTGCAATTACATATTTCCACCAGAGAGGTCTCCAAATCCCCAAATCCTACATGGTGTTGCTTTAAGTGTCAAGACAAGCCGTAGTCAATGTCTCAGTAAGACTGACAGCAATGAACCTGCACGAGACCTGGTACAGTAACCAGCACAACTCATGTGAACAGAAGTCGAAACATCAGCGGGGGAATAATAAGGTCTTATAGCTGGTAAAGTGGAGAGTTCCAGTTTTCATGAGTGAAAAACTTCATGGTGGTTTATGACTCTAATGGCAGACTACTCGAGGAAAAGAGGCACTTTTGTTCCAATGTTTTAGCAAGAAAAATGATAAAAGGGCTGCAAGATTCAATGATGTGAAGCCTGAACAATAGTGAATATCAATAAAGGTACATACCAGGTTTTAAGTGTTAAACTGATATAAAACGAAAGTTCTGGTCCTAAAATCTGATTGGCTGAGCTGCGTTTGAAGCCGTTGTAAAACCCACAATATACCACGGCTCTGACCGCCTCACGGTGACTGAACTCTGTATCACTGCGCCACGGCACGAACAACCCTTCAGCGGTTAATGGATTAATCTTTGACTCTAACGCTGATCACACGGAGCACCGAGTGAACTGATGAAGTAAGAACCTGTTTTTTGTTTAAACTGAGGAGCTGATGACTTATGTTCTTAACTAGAACCAGCTAACAGGCTAAAAGATAGCAAACATGCTAAACAGCTCCATCATTAATAGCACAGGCTTGAATTAAAGTACTCATGATATGATTCACTGAAAAACGGCAGTATAAAGTCTAAAGAACGTCACCTGAATGTCTCACACACTTCAAATGTCCGTGTTTCAGTCAGAAGTCAGAAACCCAGACTGAATCCCAAACGGCTCCATAGCTAAATACTGAGCTGTGTAACATTAAGTTTAGAAATTCTAGCTTCTGCTGTCAGACAGTGACTGCCTGTCCAGTATGAATGTGGATGAATCCCAAATGACCGTTTTTAGCGACACTTTGCTCTGCTGGGCTGCAGGAGTCAGTATTTAAACTCCTACGTAGTGCACTATGTAGGGAGCAGGGAGCCGTTTGAGATTCAGCCCCAGCGTGAGAAAAGTGGCGTCGTCAGACTGGCAGAAAGACTCACAGTGGTGATTTGGTGACCAGAAAGTACTTATAAACTGAACGTTTCTGCATTAAACAGTGCTGCGTTATCATATGTTCACTATTATATGAAAAAAAGTTTTAAAAATCATGAACTGTCTGCAGTTTACAGTGATTGGCGACCGAACACTCTTCTCCTCATTCAACAATCAGTGGTTGATTAGCAACGATACCGTACTCTAAAGGAACTACATTTCTTGGTGGAATACTTGTTTATGTTGGTTTTTATTAATAATAACTTAAATAATTATCTAAAACATTGTGTATTTTAATATGTTTTATGTTGGCTGCCGTGATAAAATCACTGTAACCCACTGCCTTTCGTGGCTTATTGCTTTAATATACTGTATTCTACAAGTATTATTTTCCCTCCTCACTCATAATGTTTGTGTTTATAATGTTAGTGGAAACACTAATTCATTTCTACATGATCATTTTCCTCTCTTTATTCCTTACAATTAAACAGGCTGTTCTTGTTGCAGTGCCTTTAAGACTGATATATGTAAATGAGCTCTGTTCTGATTGGCTGTGTGTTATTCAAAAAGCAGTCCATGGAACAGACTGGTAAGTTAAGTCAGGGTTTTGGAGGGAAAGATAACCTTCAGCTGCTTCTTTCAGATGTGTGGATCGTTCGGAAGCTGAAAAGCTGCTTCCCAACAGCCAGAAACAGCACAACGTTTAATCGTTTTCCCACAACGTCCACTCCAGTCACTCTGATACAGACTGTCTGCAGGAACACTGCAACACTTCAACACATGACAGGCAGTCATATGTACCCGTGTTCATGGTTGAAATCACAACCGTGATGAATTCAAAACGGACAGTTTCCCCAGCTTTGTTTCCATATATCGTCGCTGTCCAATGACAAACAAGTATTGCCAAAATAGTAATTTTACAGGAGAGAGCAGAAAACATTCTTAACTTTCAATGCAAGTCAATGCAAAGAAATTTTATTCCGAGCGATTTTGGAGCATTTCTATTTGTCCAATCATCATGGAACTCAGTGTAAAGCGCAGCTGCTGTGTTCAAATGCTGTAGAAAAGTAAAAATAAAAAAATGGAGCTGCATGTTTTTCTTTGGACAGAGACGATATGGACTGTATAGACTGTGAAGTGAACACGTTTTAAAACCTGAACGATGTTCACAGTCTACTTAAAACACTGATTTCAAACAAGCGAGGTCATTCAGGCCTCCATCATATGGACGCTTTAAGTGTTCTGCGACTGAGACCCAGCTAAACGTACATTTACCACTTCATGTGTTCTATATATTTCTTATGTAGCACTTATTTAGACTGAGCCTGGAGAAACTACAAAACTAAAAAGCTCAAAAATACTGTAAGAGACATTTCCATATTTTGAATACTACACAGCAGGCCTGCGAGCGATATCTCCTGGAAAGTTCTCAGATCAGGTCAAAACCAGTGGTGGACGAAGGACACAAATCATGTACTTGAGTTAAAGTAGAGACACCCAAGGTAAAATATTACTCCAGTAAAAGTAGAAGTTCCTCCCTTTAGACCTCCACTTGAGTACAAGTACTAAAGTATTTGCCTTCAAATGTACTTAAGTATTAAAAGTGAAAGTACTAGCCAAAAACGGACTAGCCCCTACCTACTTGACCTCAAGCCCTTCGAGCTTTAAGTACAGCTCGGCTTGACCTGCCGTCCTTCAAGACGAGCATCTAGACTTTTCTCTCTACTGGCACCCAGGTGGTGGAGCGAACTCCCACTGGCTGTCCGAACAGCAGAGTCTCTCTCTGTCTTCAAACGCAGACTGAAGACCGTCTCTTTATACAGCACTTAAATGACCACTGAGTTAAGTACTTATTGTAATGTATTGTATTGGATTGTATTGCACTGCTCTGTGTTTAACTCTGCTCCTGTTTTCTCTGGGTATCAACAGGGACTTTTGTTTCTAGCAGTGTCTGAGCTGGACTGGCTTTCTCTCTAACCTATTGGTAACTAGCAAAGATACTTTCTCTAGATAGACAAAGCACTTTTTGTAAGTCGCTCTGGATAAGAGCATCTGCTAAATGCTGTAAATGTAAATATGCTAAACGATTAATTAACTTAATGCAACTTCATTACAACTTTAAGTTTAATAAAAACTTTAAACTCACAAATGAGTTTCACTAAACTGCATCTGTAGGTCTCTGTTCATAAACATAAACTAGACAAAACTAATTTACTATAAAATGAAATGTGTTTGTATAAATTCAGAAAAAAGACACGTCAGTCTCAACTGCATATGAGTACATATTTCTATATTGTGGTCTGTTTACACAAAGTTAGGTTAGTTCATCATTTATGTTGAATAGACTCTCCCAAAATTTTACGCTGCTGCACTGATGTTGAACCGTGTGCTGCACTGGGTCGGTATGACCAACAGGTCAAAACAAGCTCAAAACAAAGTGACCGCTGTGCCCTGATTGGTGTTTTTGCTTTGCGCTTCTTTTGTTTTGACATGTTACGTTTTTATACACACATAAACCAAAAGGAACGACAGATTTCTCAAAATGTAGTGGAGTAAAAAGTGAGATATTAGACTCTGAAATGTAGTGGAGTGAAAGTAAAAAGTCGCCGACAGATACACGAAAAAGTACAGAATTACATTTACTTCGTTACTGTCCACCACTGGTCAAAACATTCCAGCACAGCTGTTAAACAGAATTCGCCGGCTCACCACTGCGAGCTTCATGTTTTTGGTGATGCGGTCCTGCCAGGCGAAGCACAGGATGTGAGGCAGATACAGAGTGAAGTAGATGATGCCGCTGCAAGCAGCAGCCAAGTTGGCCTTGTTGAAGAACACACTCATCAAGAAGCTCTGCATGATGGTGGCCGTGGAGAAGGTTAGCAGGAAGAGGAAGAGGATGATGGGGTTGCTGTAGTTCAGCACCTTTCCAGTCTGGAGACACAGAAGAAGAAGAAGCACAGAGTTTCCGTCAAACCGTCCGTCTGTCACCCCGACTGTCTTGGTGTCCTACACTCTTCAAGGGTTCTTTAGTAAAGGTATCCATGTAGAACCATTAGTTCTATATAGAACCATCTACACGCTTAAATGGTTCTTTGCATGGTGAAATGGTTCTTCTTAGTGCTATACAGAACCACATTCAACACATTCTCCATCAGTCTGAAGAACCATTTCACCATGCAAAGAACCTGGTGTTGTATATATTTGTGTTTTATATGGTTCTACATAGAACCTTTTTGAAAATCGGTCTATATAGCACCAAAATATTACATATATACATTACATAACCAAAATGTTATGTATGCTATTGTTATGATGTCAAGCTTGTGACAATAGAATAATTTTCTAAAAGGTTCCATATAGAACCATATACAACACATTCTCCATCAATCCGAAGAACCATTTCACCATGCAAAGAACCTAGTGTTGTGTGTGTGTATATATATATAATCTTTTTGAAAAATATTCTATATAGCACCAAAAAGGGTTCTGCTATTGTTATGATGTCAATTGTGTAACAACAGTTTTCGGTTCTATTTACAACCATTTTCAAAAAGGTTCCATATAGAACCATATACAGCTCATTCTCCATTGATCTGAAGACACTTTTCACCATGCAAAAAGCCCTTTAACCATGCAAGTGGTTCTTTGAGCGTTTATGGTTCTATGTAGTTGTCTTCACTAAAGAACCCTTAAAGAACCATCTTTTTTAAGAGCGTAAAACGCCTTGAGTTTGTACAGAGTGCATTACACTTCAACAGAACTCTCTAAGATGGGATTTCAACACTTGTCACTACATGTCAGTTTAAAGCCTGTCATTTTCATTAAAGTGCTGTAGTGAAAAGTGTCAGACTGGCTGCGTCACTAATAGAAGTAACCAGATAAATGGAATAGAATAATTTATGTGCTGCACAGATCCACTAGAGGGCACAATTACTCCATTAGGGAAAGATGAAAGCTTAAGGGCTCAAAGAAAGAGCCCAGATCTCTTTGAAGGGGAATTCCATCAATTTTTCAAACTTCCTCCATAATTAAGCAGTTAAGACGTAAACCGAGTCGTTCAGACTGGTTTGGTGTGAAACGCCTTTTTGGCCTAAAATATTTTAAATATATTTTTAAAATTAATTTTGCTTTGCATCCCCCTGTATATATATATATATATATATATATATATACATACATGTGAGGGTCCATGGGGGTCCTGACCACTGAAGAACAGGGTAAAAGGGGGCTAACAAAGTATCAGAGAAACAGATGGACTACAGTCTGTAACTGTAGAACTACAAAGTGCACCTATATAGTAAGTGGAGCTGAATGAGCCTAGAAACAAGGACATAATGTTATGCCTGATTGGGTTCTTTAGTAAAACAGGGGTTCTATATAGAACCATGACCCCTCAAAAAACATTTCCATGATTAAAGGGTTCTTTGCATGGTGTGAACTAATTCTTCAGATCGAAGGCCGGACTAATTATGTATTGTACATGGTTCTACATAGCACCAAAAAGGGTTCTTCTATTGTTACAAGCTTGACATTGTGACAATAGAAGAACCACTGAAAAACCACTTCACCATGCAAAAAACCATTTAAGCATGCAAAAGGTTCTTTGAGTGTTCAAGGTCCTATATAGAACCACTGTCTTTACTAAAGAACCCTTAAGGAACCATCTTTTGTAAGAGGGGGGCCCCTGGTTCCTATCACCCCCACTGTAGAGAAATCGGTCAACTCTACTCTTCATGACTTTGTTTACATCTCAACGACTGATTTATGTAGAATTTTACTAAATCGGTGGAGTTCCCCTTTAAAGGAAAGCTTCACCCATACTTTGTCCATAACTGGCTAAAAGCTGCAGATTCCTCATCAGTGAAGATCCCAGGCCCAGCAGTGAGCATGTACAGTGTTCTGCTCCTCACCATGACAATGCCGGTGAGCAGAACGGTGCTGATGGTCATCATGATGAAGCTGTCGATGAACCAGGTGTACCAGATGACCCCGTTAGTGACCCCCATGGCCTTCAGTGTCTCCTTCAGCCTCATCTCCTTCTCCAGCACTATGCTCTTCACCATCATAGACACAGAGTAGATCCAGGCCAGCACCATGAAGATGGGGAAGCAGCGGTTAAGGGTCAACATGAACCTGGGGTCAAAAGAAAGGAATCAGTGCACTTTGCCTTCTACAGAACACGTTAGCTCTGACCGCGGTGCGAAAACTCGACTGTTGAGATAAAAACTGGGAATGCATGTAAAGAAGCCGTAAGTCGTAAGTGTTTAAAGCTCCCAGCTCCCTTGATTAAGGACCAGATACGCAGAGTTCACCAAATAAATCACAGCTTGTCGGGACAAAACCTTGTGTCTCTAAAAAGGGAACTTCACAGGAGAAGGAAAACTGTTATTACCTTTCACACACATCTAAGCTGCGTATCCTCCTCACAGGGGAGCTGGAGCCTATCCCAGCGGTCAGGGCGGAAGGCAGGGAACACCCTGGACAGGTCACCAGTCCATCGCACACAGACACACACGCCCAGGGTCAATTGGAGATACCAATTTAGTGTCTCCATTTGGCCGGACTGCATGTCTTTGGACAGTGGGAGGAAACCCACACAGACACGGGGAGAACATGCAAAGGATCCTGGTCACCCGGCTGGGGAATCGAACCCAGACCCTTCTGCTGTGAGGCAACAGCACCACCCACTGCTGCCCTTCTTATCTTTCAATGGAAGTAAATGGAGAAATATTCCAAGTATTTTTGAATCATTCCTGTTGGTCCGTTCATCAGGACATTTTGCCACAACATAAACGGCAACTGCCTTTTTCAAATTACATCAGAAAATTAAATACGATAATTCAGGGTTTTGTCCTGACAGCAGTGACACTGAGTGATACTCACTCAGAGTACATCAAAATAAGTGTAATTGATTGATTTTATCAGACCCCAAAGACGAGATTTTAAGTGAGACATATGAACACAACTTGAATATTAGTTCTCCAGGTGTTTTCTGCTGCACATACTTCTCTCTTTCTTTTTCAGTACCAGAATCTGATGCTGGTAAATCGAGGCCAGTGGGGAAGAAATCTGATCAATTTTCATTTGGAAATTTTATGATGCTTTCCTATGTTTGCTTTGATCCTCACAGCAATGTAAGAAGTGACAAGTAAATTATAAAGTAACAAGTAGCAATAATTATTCATATTGTTATTATTTGTGCGTCATATGTTATTATTCCATATTTCTGCTAAACTGCTTGTTAATTTCTCTCCTCTACACTGTTAGAAATGAAAGGTTCTGTTCAGGAACATTTTTCGTTCATCAAGGTACAAACAGTGTAAATGTTCCCTCAAAGCTCCAACAGTGGTTTTAAGGTCTGATTGTGAACCTTAAATAAGTTTTTCCAGGTGAAAAGTTCGTATTTGTACCTTTTCATAACCGAATGTTTTAAACAGAACAGTAAAATAAAAGCCTGGAGACGAGACGGGGTGTGTGGAGTCAGTACAGCTTAGAACATATCATTTCAGTGGATTATGGTTCAGTTATGTTCCCTGACTGAAGGTACTGAGATGGACCCTTGAGGGTTCCACCCCAGTGACAAGAGGGGAACTGACCCAGAGGCAGTCTAGTACCTTTATTTCTGAGAGTGCAGGGTTTATAGTATTTTTTTAAATATGTCACTACTGGTATATTCTGTCTGTTCAACTAGGGGTGGGCGATACGGCAAAAATATGATATACGCAATACATTTTCACGATACGATATGATATTATGGCACACAGACGCCATGCCCAGTAGCGCCACATTGACTTTGTTGTGATATACAGTTGTCAGACAAGGTGTGAAGTAAAAGTTTTGTAACTGTATATTGTAAATCTCCAGCTGCCAGTAAAGAAAAAGAAATGGGATTTCGTCATGTGTCAGAATTATAGTTAGCATGCTAGGATGCTAAACGCGTAGTCCACTTACATGTCATCTACGTAGCAGGGGTAGGGCATCTGCTGGACATAAACACCCATGGGCCAGTCCTGACCCGTCTGCAGCTTCAGGACGCCGTGCTCTATCATGTCCTGCAGGTACGCGAATCCGCCCCAGATGTAGCGCAGGTCCTCCATGGGGTCGGCTCGGGGGCCGGGGTCCCAGTACCTTTCACACGTACGCAAGGGGACGTCAACAAAGTTTACACAAAGTGGTGTTTATCATCACGGTCATAAATTCCATCACATCACAATCGCAACTGGTTCTGCAAGGGTCCTTTAGTAAAGACAAAGGTTCTGTATAGAGCTATGAACACCCAAAGAACCATCTTCATGCTTGATGGTCAAATGGCTCTTCAGATTGATGGAGAATGTGCTGTACATGGTTCTATATAACACCAAAAAGGGTTCTGCTATTGTGACAACCTTGACATTGTAACGGTAGCAGAAACTTTTGGGTGCTATATAGAACCATTTTCAAAGGCCTTCTATGCAGAACCATATACAACACATTCTCCATCAATCTGAAGAACCCTTTCACCATTAAGCACGCAAATGGTTATTTAAGTGTTCATGGTTCTATACAGAACCATTGTCTTTACTAAAGAACCATCTTTTTTTAAGCGTGTATACGGTCAGTACCTAAATACAGAGCCCTGCTGGTGAGATCCAGTGTGGCCAGTAAGGCGTGAGATGATTAAGACTTGACCACAGCTTAATATTCATGATCTCGTTCTCACACCTTACTAAGCCGTGGCCACACATTATTTTTATTTATAGGGGATCTCACCAGCAGGATCCGTATTTAAAAGGTCATAGAACAAACTGTGCGTTTCATTACAAACATGGTGAAGCAGCATTTAGCGGCTGTGCTGGAACAAATTCCCAGAAGATCTTAGAGAACCTTTAAAAAGAACGTCTTAAAGGATGTTTTAAACTGTGAACCAAGTTAAAAAGTGGTCAAATTGTTCTTCAGATTGATGGAGAATGTGCTGTATAATGATGGGTAAAATGGGTAGGTAATGATGGTGTTTTGGTGGGTAATGATGGGTAATGAGGGTGTTTCTGGGTAATGATGGTGTTTTGGTGGTTAATGATGGTGTTTTGGTGGGTAATGATGGTGTTTTGGTGGGTAATGATGGGTAATGATTGTGTTTTGGTGGTTAATCATGGTGTTTTGGTGGGTAATGATGGTGTTTTGGTGGGTAATGATGGGTAATGATTGTGTTTTGGTGGTTAATCATGGTGTTTTGGTGGGTAATGATGGTGTTTTGGTGGGTAATGATGGGTAATGATTGTGTTTTGGTGGTTAATCATGGTGTTTTGGTGGGTAATGATGGATAATGATTGTGTTTTGGTGGGTAAATATGGTGTTTTGGTGGGTAATGATGGCATTTTTGTGGGGAATGATGGCGTTTTGGTGGGGAATGATGGTGTTTCGTGGGTAATGATAGTATTTTCGTGGATAATGATGGATAATGATGGTGTTTTGGTGGGGAATGATGGGTGTTTTGGTGGGCAATGATGGTGTTTTCGTGGGTAATGCTGGTGTTTTGGTGGGCAATGATGGTGTTTTCGTGGGTAATGCTGGTGTTTTGGTGGGCAGTGAAGGTGTTTTGATGGTAATGTTGGTGTTTTGGTGGGTAATGATGGGTAATGATTGTGTTTTGGTGGGTAATGATGATGTTTGTTGGTGGGTAATGATGATATTTGTTAGAAAACGTTGGAGTTTTGGGGAATTATGATGTTCTCTGGACAATAATGTGATCCCCTGTGTAGAGTACAGTGTAAAGTCAGGGCATTTGTAACGGTGATATGGCCGGCTAAATCTAGGAAGGCTGTCCACTGTGAGCAGACTGGGTCAAACAGAGGTGCCGTGTGTCACCTGTCTTTGATTTTGTTGGTGCGCTCCACTGCGTCGATGTCCATGCGGATTTTGTATCTGATGTGTTTGGGCAGCGCCGTGGTCCAGGGGTACATATCCATAAACACAAGCCCGGCCCAGAACTTATTCTCCTCCAGCAGATACAGAGCCTGGTGGCTTAGCTGGTCTTCATCCATGTGGCCCACAAACTTATCCAGGTTTATACACTGCAGAGACACAGGGACAGTGTGTGTGTGTGTGTGTGTGTGTGTGTGTGTGTGTGTGTGTGTGTGTGTGTGTGTGTGTGTGTGAGCATGGGGAAAACTTCACATGGGCTCCTATTTGTTAATGTGGGCACTGTTCTAATATAATATATATAAACTTTCAAGTTCAATTTCCTATGTTCTAGATAAACTTACAGAGTCAGAACTGTTCACAGTGGTGGTGATAGGAACCAGACGTCCACCTCTAAAAGCTCCCTCACAGAAAGTTCCTACATGAAATGGTTATGAATTCACTGCCTGATGACTGAGACACTGTTTTATGATAGTTTAGAGAACTTAAACTCCATTCATGGTGGAGGGATACATGCAGGGCGCTGTGAGGCAAAATAGTCCCCAAAGAAAACTTATTATTTCAGATTTTCCACTATTTTCCATCATCAACATTCCATATAGACTCAGAAGACTCGTGTAGGTTCACTGGTGGTTCTGGATAGTAAATAAAATGTCTATATTTGTGTTGTAGTCATGGCGACCCCTGGTTCCCATCACCACCACTGTAAAGACATCTGAACCGTTTCACACCAAACCACTCTGAATCGCACAGTTTATGTTTCAACAGTTGAACGGTGCAGATTTTTTTGACTGTTTCATATTTTATGTTCTTGTGATCTCAGGAATTGTTCTCTTCGTTCTCTTTATCTGTTTGTATATACAGAAAGGTGATTGATATATAAATAAAGATTTGATTTGATTCTGGTATGCAGGGGAGCGACGGGAGGGCATGTGTGTATGTGGGTCTGTGTGTGTGTGTGTGTGTGCGTGTGTGTGTGTTTTACTGATTTAGAGGAAATGCCTGTTATAGAAATGCCATTAGAAGCCTTTCATTCTCTGAAGTGCTCTACTTGTCATGGGAAAATCACCCAGCTTACTCCGGCTATTATCTGGACGCCTGTTATTCTGCAGTTTTCTCTCTCACAGTCCTTCTCCATGACACTGAGGCTGCAGAGGCCTCTCTGTGTGCACCATGTCTAATGGACCATTCACATTACTGTACAATGCCACCATACAGAACACACAACAGTAAGGGTGGGAAGATTAATCGATTCTTAGACGCATTAAAAGATTCAGAATCAATTCACAAAATGTCATAATCAGGTTTTTATTAAGGCTTTGTGTTTCTCCCACTAGAAATAAACTCATCACGCCCAATAACACTATAAACAGGGATTAATATTGTCTAAAGCCTGCGGTTCTAGTCTCTCTAGAAAAGACAATGGTTCTATATAGAATCATTTGCATGCTTAAATGGTTCTTTGAATGTTTATGGTTCTATTTAAAAACATCGGGCCTCATTCTCCAACCGTTCTTAAGAAAACATTTCTTGTTGGATTTGTTCTGAGGTAAGAACAGAATCTACAAACACTCAAGAGCACAAAGGTGAGAACAGTTCTGCGCTTTAAGAACACGTCATGAATCTGACGGAGACTTCTTCTTAGGACCTTTATCAAGAACACACTTAAGAACCAACTTAGGGAGATATTGGTGAACGAGGCCCGGTAACTCAAATTTTCAGGAAGGCCTGCTTGAACCTGCAACTGCACTGACTGGTACTAGTGATGGGGTGTTGACTTCAAAAGAGTCGGTTCTTTGACTCTAACGCGACGGGGAGTCGGGATCGATTCTTGGCCAATGACTCTGGGAGTCTTGCTGACCACTTACTGATAACTGTGGCCCCTTCAGTTTTAGAATGGCTGCTACGCAACTAAAACTTTAGCTATTTAAAAATGGATTTATAGAATTTTTTTTGTATTTTTTATATGACATTTGTTTAAATGTAATTTTGCTTTCTCCTTCCACTTTTCAGCTTTCTGTTTAGGCCACCTACAGACTTCACAAGTGCACAGAGTTCAGGCTACATTCCAAATAAGCTGACATAACTCATTAATGACAAATAACATAAGCTATAGAAATCCAAAACTGAAATCAAGGTGCATCGAGAATGGTTTTATAATTGCTTCCAGTCACCCTGAATTTAAATCAAATAGAACTGTAAAGATTGTTAAACATCCCCACATCCTAAAACCCTTACACTGCCTACCAGTCTGTTCCAGTATGGGTTTTAAGGCTCTATAAATGTCTTAATGGTCAGCAGCAGCGTGTTTATCTGATCTGCTGCAGCGATATGAGCCGAGCAGAACTCTCAGATCATTAGGAACTGGTCAGTCAGTCCTGCTGAAGGTGAAGACTAAACATGGAGAAGCAGCGTTTAGATACTATGCTGCTCTTAAATGGACCCAGTGGACAGAGAGCATTGGAAGAGCCCCGACACTGGACAGAGCAGCTTTCAGCTCAGTTTAAACACTGATACCTCTACTGCTCTTCACTCCTCTAACACCGCTCTATCATCGTCATTTCAGCTTCAATTTTAATTTGAATTTCCTTACTATTAATGACTGCACTGTATATATATATATATATATATAGAAACAATAGCCTCATAGTTTCAGCACAAAAGTGAAGAAGCAAACTTCAGGCACCAAACATGTCTTGGCTGATTACATTTGGGGCGGGGGGCGGGGGCGGGGGCGGGGGGCGGGGGGCGGGGGGTGGGCTGAGGGGTGGGGGGCGGGGTTAACTGTACAAACAAGATTTTAGGCTGAACTCTTCCTTTAAGGGTCTCATCCTGGGGGCTGCCTATCTCTGTGACAGCTCTGAACGAGCTAATTGAGTACGGTATGTATGGAAAGCACAAAGGAGGCCGTGACATTCGATATGCACCACGCTCAAACTCTCAAATCAATTTAGGGGAAGAGGCCCTCCAGCACGGGACAGGAGGGAAGGGGTCTAGAGCTGCTAGCCTGAGTGATTTAGCCCTTTATTCCTCGATAAAGCGTCCTCATTCCACAAAAACTCAGCGGCCCCTCTTAATCACGTCCATACAAAAGGTGTTCCTGCGCGCTGTTACGGCCGGCCGGTCGCGTTCCCTTTCACCCAGCTGGCTGCGGCGCTAAGTGGCTTTTCTCCTGAGTGTAATCAGCGCTCTGCAGCAGCTACGGCTGAGAGTAACACACAGGGTGTGCAGAGCGGCCCTGAGCTGCTCGGAGGAGATTTTACACTTACAGAACCGGGCAAAAGTTTGGATACACCCAGGGTCATTGGAACGGCAGAGCCGAGCGGGCATTTGACCCACCACTACAGACCCACAGACCCACAGCTGTTTTACTGCAATGCACAAACAAATGCACTGCATCACAGTTACAGATCCAGGTCCACTTGCTTTGTGAGTTCAGTTTGGTTGAGTGTGAAAGCTGTTATCGAGCTGGGAGTGGAACAGAGAACCGATCTCTGGTCCTCCTGAAATTGGTGGTCTGAAGGAACTCTGGTGGGTCTGCTGTGCGTGTGGAAGCTATCTGCGTCACTTCCCGTTTTAAGAGCAGTGGACCGGTGATCCCTGCCCGAGTTCACTGCTGGTGCGTACGCATCTTTATGATGGTCCACATCAAATCAGAGTTTGTCCACATAGTCTGCTTTTTTTTGGGGGGGTGAGATTTTTCCCAATTTAGTCGTATCCAATTCCACCCACTGGCTACTAAAACAGAAGATAGCCTGGCACTTTTTTGGTCAATGTTTACTTCAATATGTGTTATTTTACAGTTTCGGCATCTTCACTATTATTCTATAAGGTGCAGAATAGCTGAGGTAGGAACAAGGAACTAAGTTGCAAGTAGTAAGTCTCAAGCCTTGACACCCAAGTCCCGAGTCAAGACAGCTGAGTCTCGGTTCAAGTCACGAGTCAGTACAGGTGAGTCTCAAGTCCTAATCTTGGAGTCCTAAACAGGTCAGTCTGCATTCTTCAGCTAATTTAAGGCCATTTCAACACTGAACACTAAAAGTGATGGTAACTGTTATACAGCCTGTTAATGTCAGCCATGTGTGGCTGTGTATTTACATTAAAAAAATATGTTTCTTTATCTCTCCAGATATATCCAGAGACACTGGTTTACACAAAGAACTGAACTACACATGAAAACTATTTTCAAAGTATTATTAAACTTAATAAAAAATAATATTTAAAGATCAGGTTTGATGATTTTTGAGAACACTGGGCACATAGGATTAAAATACAGACTAGCTCAGCACTAAAAACAGCTGCTAGTTTGAACTGAATTTAGACGACAGAAACTAAAACGACCAAGCTGGACAAAGTTTAGAGAAAAGGGCAACATGATGGTACGTTGACTTTCTATTCACCAGTTTATTTATTTGAATTTTCCGTTCCACCTTAAATGGTGCAGCAGTTACGTTTGGCTGCCTGTCTGCTGCACCATTTAAGGTGGAACAGCAAACTCGAATATAAAGCTGCCAAATTAAAAAAGTCAAATTCAGCCTCGTGGGGAACGCTGCACCTGTTTTACCTGCAGAAGCTGTTAAATTCAGTAAAATGGAAAGAGCTGTGATTATTTTGAGGAAAATGATCAGTTCGCCTGTCTGACTCTCCTCGTTTCCTCTTGAGTCTTTCCGAGTCATGAGGCTCCAGTCCAAGTCAAAGTCAGAGTCACTGGTGTTCAAGTCAAAGTTGAGTCACAAGTCTCGATTTTTCGAGTTGAGAC